AGCAGTAGCAGAGAGCATTGGAGCAAAACCTTTCGTTTAAATTGAAAAATACGGGACCTTTTTTGACGCTGAAGTATCGTAATTTTTCGAAACTTAGAGAATAAATAATCGGATTGAAGAACACCACGTATTTTGGGTAGTTTTCGGTCATTTTGAATTAATTAATAACGACGGGTTGTCAGGTTTCTTATAGAATTTCATTGGAATCGTCGACACAAGATTTATGTTAATTTTTGGATATGTTTTTCCAGTCGGTCGGCTTGATTTCAAAGAGAAATTCATTATTATAGGACCTCGCAAATTTAAGCGGCTTTCTCTCGCGGCACTGCGCCAAAAATCACGCACTGCTGTCTTTTCGATTACGGTAGTTTTTCTGCGTCCAATTTCCATATCAAATTCCTTGCTTTTCACGTGGCAGTGCGCCAAAGACGTGACCCTGTTTTTATCTAAAGAATTAAGGTAATTTTTATGCCAATAAAATTTGAAATTCCCTTTCGGCTGCCCTAATTCCGCAGTGCTCCAAATTACGCCAGGTTGCGTCAAATCCCTGCTTGGCGGTTCCAAAGCCCCAAATTTGCCAATTCCCCCTGGTCATTTAGTGAAATAGCCGGAGCAACGCGGGGTGCGTTCCGTTTCATTCCTTTTCCAGTCTCATTTTACCCTCCCTTCAAAGCGTTCACATTTTCCAATCGTGGGACCCTTCATAAAGAGAAGCCGCCACGGGGCGCCGAATAAAAGCCAATTACATCTGGGGGGTAGCAGTAGTGAGAAGCGGGGAATGCCCTCAGCGCACACACCCCGGGCTAAGCCACGCCCACAACTGGGGAGCCCTAACTTTTGACGTGCCGCTCCCAGAATTCTCAGGATAGCAGCTTCTGATTCCGGAAACTACCTAAATTTTTGGCTCTTTGCCTGAATTCTGCTGTCTCTAGAATTTTTCTAAATTCTTTTATTCCAGGGTCCGGCTATTCCGGAAATTCCGTAATCCCTTGAGCTCCGAATCCGGCTTAATTCTCGGCTTCTAGGGCTTAATCTAGAGCTTGACGACGCCGAGCTAAAAATTAGGGCTCAGAAAGCGCCTCTTAAACCAGCCCCAACTACCGTAATTCGCAAAATATAGCCTTGCACGGATTGGGTGAACGTAATTCGGAGCGTTACGAAATTCCTAAAATCTGTCCCAGCTACCGTAATCGCTCTAAAAATTGGACCGTTCTAGTTGCGGTCCAGTTACCGTAAGCCAGCCTTGCCAATCTAGAAGCTTCCTAAACCGTACCCAGCTACGGTAACTTAGCGGCGTAACAGGCTAAGAATCTGCGCTCTAAAAGCGGATTGCTAAACCCTGACCAAACTGCCGTAATCGGCCTGTAGTTCGGCCCAGGTTACCTTAAATCGCTATAGTTCTCGGAGAGTGGCAAGCTATTTCCTAAACATTGACCCACCTACCGTAATCTACCGTAATCTATCGGAATTCCGACTGTCAGGATTTTTTCAGCAATCCGCTAAAACCTGCCCCAATTACCGTATTTCCAAAAATGACTCGTCGAATCTCAATGACGCACGGTCCCTCAGAAGCGCCCCTAGACGGCGGCCCACGGCTCCTCCCCCAAGTCTTCCAAAACCTAAGCCAAGCCCAAGTCGGCTTGCGTGAAAACCGGAACTCGATCACAACTTTGCGACAATTCCACCAAAGCCCCCACTCCCGCTTCTCACAGCCGGACCTGTTAGCCACTACCGTAATCGGGCAGTACGGACCTGGTACTAATAACGGTCAGGGGACCCCACCATCGGGGTACGGTAGCCCGAGAAGAGTATTACCCGTGGTGGGACCCCGTGGGGTGATAATTGGCCCATCGCGGAGATACCTTAAACGCTGTCCCCAATCCGATCTATCCCACCGTTTTCAGAGACTCCAGGAGCAGCACAGCAGCGAGAGCACGCCCAGTCGAGGTGGGATTTTTTTTGGGGGGGTTTAAAGGACTGGGCAGGCATATTTTTTTAATGAAGCGATGAGGTATTAAAATAGGAGTGAGGCCGGTTTTTTGAAGCTTCTTTAAGGTATAAAATCTTAATGTTATAAAAATATCGAAATCTTACTTAAGTTAGTGTTGGAAGTTGGTTTTTGGCTGGTTATTTTAGTTTTTTTGTTAAGGCAATTGGAAGGTTATTTTTGGTTTAAACTTAAGGGCGTCGATTCGGTAATTTTTCGTTTCATTCAGTCTCAAAGTGGTTTAAAGGTCCAAGCAAGCGCGAGAATCGACCCTTGTGATCGACTACTTCTCGACAGCTACCTGAAACCTCCGTATTCTGTCCGTTTGCACATCGGAATGCGTGTTTTGAAGTGTTGTGTAGCTGTCGAAACCCAGGCAATTTAGGGGTCGATTCTCGCACCTTCTAGAACATTTAATTCCGAGTAGATTCTGTTCAAAAAATGTCTTAAAATCCGGTTTAAAGGAGTCCGAAAGCGCGACATTCGATTGGCTAGGTTTCGACAGCTACGTAATACGCCTAGCGATACCGCAAAACATTGTTTTCCAAAAGATCAAATCCAAATTTGGCTATTCAAGCAAATTACAGCGTGTTTTCGGCACCTCGCGTAACTGTCGAGACCTAGGCAATGGAAGGGGTCGATTCTCCCGCTTTTTGAATACCTCTAAACCCGGCTTTCATATCCGTTTCCGTTTTTTACCAGGCAACTCAAACGCGTCAACCCCCCACAAAAACAGGGGCTAATTGAGGGCAAAACGTCACACCCATCCTATCCCGTTGCCCTATTTTTTTTGTCCTAGCCGGGGCGGAGGCGTCAAAAGTGATGTTCGCACCCTCGTGAGATAGGGAGGCAAAGGCCCGTGAAAATCCAGCCCATTGTTTCGAGGAGGTGGCGTAGACGCGTTTATTACGATTAACGGGCGATCGGCTACAATATGCGAGTGTTTAATCGGATAGAAAAGTATACCGTAGGCAATAAAAATAAATATAAAATTATTTTTGGAAGGGATTTTTGACGCCTTTAAAAACCATTTATCGCCTTCGCTAAATTTGGTTTTGTTTAGTTTTTGCGTAATTTTGGTAGTACTGTAGAGCGCGTTCGTAGGAATTTCCAGAGTACTGTACCGTAGTATCCGCTGCCTAACTCCAATTTTTATTAAGCTTCAGCAACCTTTTACCTAGCCCCAGCTACGAATTTCCCGCCTGAATTTTGCTTAGCTTTATTTTGCCTAATGCGGTACGTTTTTGGTCTCAGCGTACAGAGTATTGTACCGTAATTTGTCCCCACAAGCTGTCAATTTTTGTCAAGATCAGTCGGCTTTTGCCTAGCCCTGGCCGCGCTTTGTTTGCAGTTGGATGCGTCTTTCTCTGAATCATACTGGGAATACTGTACCGACCAGCCCCCGATCGTAATGAGTTGTCAAGCGGAATCACGTTCGCTAGATTTGCCACCTCCCATCTTATAATTATAGGGAAAGGCCTAATATAGGAAGGCAATAAGCCAGGAATCGGATAGCCAGCCAGACCCGTAAATAAGCTTTGTGGTAGGTGGAGGATTGTAGGTAAAGATGCTAGAATCGCTGCAAAAATAGCAATATTACGAAAATTATATATTTGTATCATCCAAAGCCAAAAACCAATAAAATTACTGAATAAACTTGCTAGAAAAATTTTGCCAAAAAATCAAAATTCAACAAGAAAAGCCAAAAATTTTGGATTTTAGGACCCCAAATTCTATGATTTCTAGTTACTAAAAATTACTAAACACAGTAGTTTTAATGCCATTATTTGAAAATTGGATATTTCGGGAATTTTCGCGAGGTTCGTATGAAAATTAGGCAATCTTGCATGCGATTTACTCCAATTTGCCTTGCCCCAGGATTTTTTATTCGATTGTTCATATTTTTTGCGCCAAAATACATTAATTCCCAACTTCCAGACCTCCAAAAACGCCTCAAAAAATGTTTTCCTCATCGCTCCTCGGGGGCTATCAGGATGCAAATTGAGCTCCCAGCTCACGAATGGCTAGTGAATACTGAATTCCCGTCCTCTCGATTCTTCGCTTCTGAATGCTCTTTTGAAGCTTAATTCCCTCTCGTTCGCTCCCTCCCCCATCTGAATTGCCCGTATAATTGATGTAATTGGAATGGGGAAGCGACTTTCGCGAGCGTGGCGAGATACACCCACCCTCTATTTTATGCCCTCCCAGGGCCGTGAAAGCACTTCTCTGAAAAAACTTAGCTTTTGAGGGCATAATTTAGGAAGCGGAAGAGAGAGAGAGAGAGAGAGAGAGAGAGAAAGAGAGAGAAAGAGAGAAAGAGAGAAAGATAGAGAGAGAAAGAGAGAGAGACAGATGGAGAGAGAAAGAGTTAAACGCGTAACTCAATTCTGAGCGTAGCTTTTGAATAATTGAACCGACCGATTACGCCATGGCGGATAGTCGGAATTATTCTGGTGTTTTTCGGCTAGGGTTCGGACAAGGAATTGGAGATTTTTGGGATTTTAAGGGCGCTGGACCTGTTACTTGATTTTTTAATCTAGAAAAACTAAAAAAGCTAAATTTGCCAAGACACTATGGCTTAATTTTTGGACTCAAAGCGTTTCTTCTCCTCCTAAACCTGAAATCCCAGACTTCCCGGTCCCTTGAGAAAGTCAATTCTAGCGTCAACCTGCAAAAAGTGCAATTATTGCGCAAAAACTCACCTGAGAAGTCTGGCCAATGTAATCCGCTCCCCTGGCTGAATAATCGAGTCATTTTTCCATTATCCTGTGTTCTGGCCCCCACCCTCATAAATTGCATTTTCACCCCGGGGGCCTTGACTTTTGATTAAAAAATGCAGCCACTCATTCCGGGAGGATACTTTGGACAGAGAGAGAGAGAGGAGAGAGAGAGAGAGAGCGCCCAAATGCCACCCTCGCATCTTGTTAAGGCCAAAAGAATCGGGCAAAAAAGGGGCCGAAAAAGAACAACCCGGCAATTCGATCTGCACCCCCACCCGGGCGGCCATCTCATCATGGCCGCCCCGAAAACTCGAAAGTTAATGAAATTTTGGCGGCCCGTGGTTCCGCGGGGCACCAAGGAACGTACCGAATAGCCGTTGCTGCTGCTGGACTTTGGACGAATTTGCGAATTGCAAAAAATTGGAGGTTTTATGAGATGGGATGGGAGGGGACGTGCGTTGGAAAATGTTAAGTTGAGCCGCGGGGTTTTGAGAAACTCACGCGAAAGTGTTAGAGCGGGTGTGAGGGAGCGAGGGAGAGGGGGGTAGAGAGATATAGAGAGCGAGCGAGAGAGAGAAGGAGAGAGAGTAAGAGAGTGAAAGAAAGCGAGAGAGACGTAACATCTGATCTTTGAAAGAAGGTGAATAGCTTGAAAGAATTAAATTTGAAAGATTCATTATTCTGATCTTTGTATTTTGGCATTTCGCGTAGCTGTCCAGACCTAGTCACCGAGAAGCGTCGATTTTGGCGCTTCCAAGTCCCTTTAAGAAGGTAAGAGGAGAGCGTAAATATTTAAATTTGATTTGTTCTCTCTCAAATTCTCTCTCTCTCTCTCTCTCTCTCTCTCTCGCTCTCGTTGTCGAAAAATTCCAAAGATCCACACCAAAATTTCAAATCCCACTAAAACGAGGGGTCAACATGTTGACACCTCAGCCTCGCGCCTCCGCTTTGGCACCCCGTTCGGCTCATCCGATTTCCCCCGAAAGGTTTAAATCCCGTTTGCACTTCTGAAAGCCGACGCCCCTACCCTGAACGTTTCTTTCCAAAACCGCTTTTATCGGACAATTATTCCCGTAATTCCCGAAACGCTTTTGGCTATTCATCCAGGGGAAATAGAGGTCGACGGCCCTGAATCTGATTACCCGACTGCGGGAGGTAGCAGAGGGGTGTTCTGCGAATTCTGCAGGATTCCAAAAAGCTACTTTTTTGGCTGGTGATGTTCACCTGGCCGGGGGAGTTGCTCAAGGATCAGGGGGAAATGCTTTTGTAGCGACTAGAAATCGAGGTGCAAACAAAAAAGGGGGAAAATTAGTCACGACAACTTCGAGCAGTTCAGGGCTTTGCCGGTCACTTTAATGTGTCTTCGATGTACTATATACATATATTCTATGTTTAATCGGAGAACGAGAGCGGGAGAGATGACGAAAAAACGAGAGAGAGAAAGAGATAGAGAAAGAGAGCGAGAGAGCGCGAGAAAGAGACAGAGAAACAGAAATCAAGCGGGCGCTATAGATGAGGCGAGAGTGATCGATAAAGAGATAGAGAGAGCGAGAGAGAGTGACAGAAAGAGGGAGTGAGAGACCGAAGGAGAGAGAGACAGACAGAAAAAGAAAGAGAGAGAGAGAGAGAGAGAGAGAGAGAGAGAGAGAGAGATAGCTATGTCCACGATTTTTCTGTTCAATGCCCACTCATCATTATTTCATTCAAACACTCGTATAAGCCGTTGTTTACCAGCCCCAAGTCCACCCCCACCCACCCTTAGAAATACCCCCAATTTCCTTATTCTCGTCTTTGAGAAGGCCCTATGATATTTAGAGGGTTTTATTGGCCCCCAAAAAAAGAAGCGGAAATCCGATCGGCCTTCTATGGCCTGCCGGCTCTGGCGATTCGGCTGATGCCAGAAATCGGATCCCTTACCTCATAGAAGAGCCGGAAAATTCCCCGGAATCACCCTCGGGAAATAGGGGGAATTGAACGGAAACGGAATACGATAAAATCGGAAGTTTTGTAATGCAGAAAACAAAATAAAAAAAATAAGGAAACATGTGAAAAACGAGCAAAGAAAATTGAGGAAAAGTTCACAAAAACCTAAAAAATTTGAAAAATTAGCGTTTTTACGTCAGGATAACCGCGAATCGTCAAAAACGGATACTGCACCCTATAAAATACGACTTTATTTTTTATTTCCAGATCTCCCTATCGACCCGGTCTACCTGGCCCTAAAACAGGCCACCGGAAAATATGGCTCCCAAGGTGGGGTCAACGGATCTCGTCGTGGATCATCAGCACATCCGCTTGATTCTCACTCTCCGTCACCATCTACGCTATCGCGTGTATCACTGCAGGTACTGTACATTAGCGAGGTGGTTTAGCGTACAGGAGTGTTTTTTACTTGCTGAAAGCGGTTATCATACCGTAAGATGCTGCCGAAAAATTAATATAGATCCGCGGAAAGAACCTCAAAAAATTCGATTTTTAAAAACCAAGCCTAGGTTTGGATTTGTTCGCTTTACGCTACCGTAATGCCGAACCGAAACCCAATTCAAAATTTTAGAAATCCCAGTAAAATTTAATTTGGTAGATCGCTACGGCACGGTACGACAGGCAAAACTTTACTTTAGACAGTAATAGTTAGAGCAAATTTCGTTTCAGGACTCTGGCTACGTCGAGATGCCAAAAGCCAGTCCGCTTCTCGGCTCGTCACCACAGCTCGACCATGCCGGTAAGTTTTTTAAGGGTCTTATACTTGTTTTCAAGCGTGACAACATAACCAAAGCGCAACGTTTCGCTTAAAATTGTAATATGGGCGAGAGTCTACCCCTCGCATCGACTAGATCTCGACAGTTTCGAAAGGGCTCTTGCTTCCAAAACCCTTTAAGTCGGTCTTTTAAAATACCTGGAGTATTTGGACTTATTTTCATCAACAAAAATACTCTTCAAATGATGCCAATAACCGGCCAGCTCAATCGCGAAAGTATCCACCTACACCCACACAAAACACCCCGAAGTTCGCGGATTATCCGGTAGTATGGGGGTAAAAACTCTCAATAAGAGGTGGGCCGGAAGCAGAGTGAGAGAGCGAGTCCGAGAGAGAGAGAGAGAGAGAGAGAGAGAGAGAGAGAAATGATCTTCGGGTTTCCCTCCCACTTCTAGAAGAATGATTCTGAAGTGATTTGGCTAATGGAAGGAGTCGATAGCTGGGGGATGGATTTGGACCCGATTCCAAAATATTGAGATTCGTAGGCAAGAGTGAGAGATAGAGAGAGAGAGAGAGAGAGAGAGGGAGGGAGTGAGAGAGAAAGCAGGATTTCCCAAATGCAGGGGTGGTGCCGGCAAGGCGATCCGGCTTAACCCACCTACACCAGGTGCCGACCGAAATCTGGCGCTAATAGTCGCAACAAGGAGGTTTTTGTCTCTTCGGATCTATATTTTAAGAAGCCTTTAGATTTGAATTTTCGTGTTTTCAACCGTAATTTTCTAATATTTTTTGCATGATTAAAATTATTAAGTAGACGAGGGCTTACAAGACGAGTAGGTCGGCATGCTGAAAAGGATATGGTCGTCGAAAAAGAATCGATATGGTTGGGATTTCCGGATTTTCATAAATTTTAGAATTTCTGAGTTTCGTGTTTTTCATATTAAATAACCAGTAAACCAGCTAAACGGGGCAAACTAGCAGAGATTCTTTAGGACCGAAGAACCTGAACGCAGTAGTTTTGGCTGGCTGCTAGCCTGGATCCTTGAGGAAATCCGCAACACTCTCTGACCGTCTCTCTCCCTCTCTCTGTTTCTCTCTCTCGCTCTCTAGCTTTTAGACTTTTTTTTGCGTCCGCTACGAAACGATTTGAAGGTAGCGCCAATTTCCACCATAAGAAACTCCAGAATTTTACTCTAACCCCGACCCACGCCAACCCGCTGTTTACCACCAAATATCCGGCCGCCATCTTTTGGCCGACCCTACAAATTGCGGGTGGGGTTTTGCCTGACCGGGTGGATCGGAAATATTAGCCATTAGCGGGCCGGAAAAAGGTGGGAGAGCAGGGAGAAAAGGACTCGAGAAGGCCCGCCAGGTGATGATCGGAAATTGGGGGTGTCCGACTCGAAGGAGGGGGGAGACCCCGAAGTCTCCACGGGCGACAATACCACACTTTCCTAACTAACACCAAAAACTCGGGCACCATTCCGGTTTTACCATACAACCGCTCAAAAAGCTATATTTTATTGTTAAGCTACGGTAGCTGCTACAGCCCTAAAAACGCTATTTATTCCGAGGTTACTGTAGCTAACTAACTCGCTAAAACGCGCTCATTAGCCTCACAATATACGCTTTGGTAGCTGGAGAATTCCTAAAAAGCACTACTCGATTGTAAAGCTACCGTAGCTCGAAAACCGTTAAAAAGAACCATTCCTTTCCGGATTGTAGCTTGAAAAGCTCTAAAAATCACTACGCCCCCGGAGCTTGAAGACTTCTAAAAAGTGCCCCAGACTCTCCCACGCTGTTATTTTATTACGGAGCTACATTATTCGAAACGAAATTCCAAAATCCCATAACTTGCACGTGGATACCTTAAATTCAAAAGTCTATATTCAGCTGCAATAATCGCGATATTCCGCTGCGCTACCGTAAACTAGCGCCCCACGCTTTTACCGTACCCTCCCACTCCCTCGCTCTCATCTCTGGGAAATGACGAGCGGCCGCCGGTTAGCCGACCACCCGTTTGTCGAGGCGGGCGTCGACCTGTACCGCTATTTGCTGTATAAAACGCTTGCAAGTAGGTTTTAAGGGGTTTGACAGGGACAACAACAACACCAAGTTCTTTCCCGCCAAACTTTTCAGATCCGCAGGAAATTGTTTTAATTTTAGATGCTAAAATTACTTACAAAAAATTATCCACTAGCCTTACTTAGTCCTTTAAAGGGCACGCTCAGGGACGTTTTTTGGAAAAAAGTAAAGATGTTTGCCGCGGCCGGGGGTCGAACCCGGCCCCCCCGCTCGGGAGGCGCGGATGGATACCAGTCAGCCACAGCTACAACCTGGCGAGGGGGTGAGGGGCGCACCACGCCGCAAAGGAGGGAAATTGCCTGCCACGGCACGGGAAGGTAGTGCGCGCGGTCCCTACGTCGATAGGGTGTACACGTTGGGACGAGTACACGGCCCCTCCCTGAACGTGCGCTTTAAGTGGTTATTGTAAGTCACAAGACCTCGCAACCAAGTCGATTCTTGGAGTTCTTAAAGGGATCGTGACATCAGAAACGCGCAAACCTCTGCATACCTTTGCGACCATTCAACCATGCATCCAATCGGTTTCTTCATTAAATGCCTCAACCGCTGCAACCCACCGGAATAGGGCCGTAAACTGGTTGCCGGGTGGCGAACTTGATCACCTTGATTTAATAGCGTAATGGTATACACAAGGTGGTGACCATGGGGACCACCGATAAATGAACCCGGAACAACTTTTGAGGTTTGTGCGACCCGTCAATTGGATTGTGCCGTAGTCGAGTTATCGGCGGTGACTTGACAGCTAGTTTCCGTAGTCCGAAGGGGTATTTTGGGATCATATTCGGTTTGGAAGGCGCTGCAATTAATCCTGAGGTCTTGATTTTGTAACATTTCTAACTGTGGAATTGTCATTTTTTTTATCTTTTGGAGGTAGTAAATGCTTTTTTTCCTTGTTTACCCAGTATCTCAACTATACACTTTCCGATTCCTGAGCGCAACGCTGGAATCCCGGCCTGCTTTGCAGGTGAAAATCTTCACCTCAACTTGACTGGCGGCCCATAATTTTCCCTAGAAAACTCTAAAAAATCCGAGCTAAGGGCCCAATTATCTGGGTTGAGCAGGTGCAGGGTCCTGGTCAATATTTTTGATCAAAACAGGGGCACTAAAGTGAGAATGGCCTGAAGAGTAGTGTACTCGGGTGGACACGCTCTCGCCTCCCAAAACTCCAAAAAATCCAACGGATAACAAAGAGCCGTAAGGTGTTGTGTTTTGCCTCGTACAAGTCGATACTTAATAGATCGAAGGGGTAGATTCCGCGCTTGCGGATACCTTTAAAACTGAAAGTCTGCAAGGATTACTGCATTAAACTTTAGTGAAAATAATCTCTCTGTTTCCAGGCCGCAACCCGGCCCGCCGACGGGCCCCCAAGCTATCGCAGCAGATGAAGAGTCTGTCGCTCGACTGTGCCGACGTGCCGCCACGCGCCCAGCCCGGAGTGTCGCGTAGCCCAATGAGCCGTGAGTTTTTCTATTCTTCGGCGATATCAAAATTATTAAAATACCCCGGTGCTACCTTGCAACTCCGATCTTTTAGAGTTTTTAGCCTGTATTTTGTAGCCTAGCAGTGTGAATTGGGTAGTTTAAAAAGGCTTTAATTAGTAGAAAACCTAGATACCAATGTTTTAATCGGCTCAAGCATTGTTGATTGATTTTTGTAATATTTACTGATAAGCGTTAATATTGCAAAATTTTTATTTTCCTTATTTTTCCGTTATTTTTCTTTTAGATTCATATTTTCTACCCCAGAATAAAAACCTGAATCCCCCCAGAATTACCGGGCAATTTTCGCATCCTTCTCGTTGCGGCAATTCGCGCTGATTAATTTTTTGCGCCCAGCACAATCGCTGAATTATAGGGCTCAAATTGAGTCCACCGCCCACAAAAACCAGCGAATTTAACCATACATGGCCCATAATTGCGCCGAAAATTACTTGTTGGGGACCCGTGCAAAAAGTGCCCTATGGATTTTGTGGTGCAAGGAATTTGCAGGATAGTGCCGAGTGCGACATTGAAACGGTTTTTATTGAGAAACGAAGAATTCAAAAAATCCTAAATAACCTGAAATTGTATAAAATAAAATAAGAAATAAGTTTAAAATTTTGACAGATCTCGAGTGGAATTAGTAAACTTTAATTTCTTAGAAAAAGTTTGGTTTAAAAAATTTAAAGAGAAGCTGTATTCTAATTAGCTAGAGTACCCCAAAAATTCGCATTAAATAAAAATTCACATTAAATTTACTAAATAATAGCCAAAAAAAATTGTAGTCGCGTGCCGCCCCTTCTTCACCAAATTCACAAATTTTCCCGAGTCCAAAATCTATGGGAATTCGCTTACAAAAAGATCAAAATTCCGGCGGATTTGAAATTGTGGGGGCTGTATAAATAAAATTCCCCGGAACTCCTACGTCTTAAATTTCGGGACACTACTATTGACACTGATGAAACGAACGTATTCAGGTGGAGGAGCCGTTCTCAGCGCTCGCGACGCATCGTCGACTGGAAGGTTGCGGAATGGATCGTCCGATTTGTCGGACTGGGAGCGAAGTTGCTCACCGCAGGTCAACACGAGTCGCCGAGGATCGGCTCAGCCAGGTACGGTAGTGGGGTTTATTGGATTACGACATAAAAACCCTCTCTCTTGCACCGATTTAAATTGTGAATAGCATTTGATTTTATGAAAGAAAATTTTGTCTTTTTGAATTTGATAAAACTAAACTTTAATGTCTATTTTTGCTGATTTCCTTAGATGCGGTTGCAGATTTTTAGCTTTTTCTATATTTCATCGATTTGCTTTTTTAGCCAGCATCCAGCAGGGCGGCCACATCGTCATCCACGAGTACACCCCGTCCACCGGACAGCCCCTGTACTTGGGCGAGAAGTTGATCGTCGTCAACAACGGGGACCCGGACTGGCTGCATGGATTTAGGTGAAAAATTGGAATTTGAAGGGAATAAACGCGCGAATTCGCAACAACAGCTACGCGATACACCAAAACACGCATTCTAGCGTTTCTGAAATACGTTTGAACGTTACGTTTCTGGAACTAGCTGCAAGACACAGCTAGTGTTTAACAAAGCTCGTATCTCTCGATAGTAGGCAAAGTGGTAGAAAAATATTTTCTTAGGTATCTAAACACGCTTTCGACATAATTTTCAAATCCTACTTTTTTTAGAATATCCGACCGCACCGAGCAGCTGATCTCTTTCCCAGCAACTTGTGTCGGGAAGGTGAAGCCAGGGGAGCAGCCGATGCGAATCTCCCAAAATGTCCTCATCTCCGACATTAAACTACGGCTGTATAGGGATCAGGTGAGAGAATGAGACAAGGAAAATAGAAACGTATGGTAGATATTCTAGATCTTAGCGTATTGCAGCGTGGGGTAGCCTGGGTATCGTAGCGTAGCGCATCCTAGAGTAGCATAATCCAACCTGGTATCCCGGCGGTTTCGTAGCACTGAGTTTCGTATTGTTCGCCTCGTAGCGTAACGGAACGTAGTGTGCTGTTTTAGAGCGCAACACTACCTAGTGTAGTGTAACGCAACGTAACATTGGGTGGCATAGTGTAAAGTAGCGTAGCGCACCGTAGCATGTCATAGCGTAGCCCTTCGTAGAGTGGTGTAACGTAACGCATTATAAATGAAGTATAACGCCTCCAACTTGCTAAAGTATAACGTAGCGCATGGTAGCGTAGTGGAAGATAGTCTATACCTGCTTGCTGCAACGTAGCGTATCATAGCGTAGCGCGGGCTATTGTCGCCCACCCAGCGGAGCGTATCGTAGCGCAGCATATCGTTGCGTATTGTAGCGTACAGTTGCGCGTACACGACCCTCCATTATGCGATCGTGCTCTTAAGTGCAAAACAACCCTTAAACCACCCATTTCCAGGTGGTCTTCGCCCAGCCCGACTCAATCCGCGAGGGCAAGGTCCTGATCCGCACCGAGCGCGACGTGTTCACCGCCTGCCGCCTCGAGTACCTTTCCATCCTCTGAACACCCAAAAAAAAAACAAATTTTGATGACTTTTTCGTGTGTTTTTGTCTGTGAGTGCTGTATTTTTGCGTACCTTTGCGTTCTCCCTGAAATTTTGGCGAGTTGCCAAAAGCCCCCCCCCCCGTTATTAGAATAGTCAATTATTCATCGGTGAGCCCCAATTTTTCGCCGTTTTCTATTCCGTGCCCTCCAACGCCTACCGTATCCCCCCACTGATCTACCGTACCCGTGGACCAAATCTTCTGCAAATCTTTCTGGAGTGAATTTTCCCCCCCATATCGTTTTACTGGTATGTTTTATTTTTGTGTATTTTGTAGTGTAACAAAAATTACAGAAAATAGAATTAGCGATTGTATAATAATTTCAGCCGAACGAAAATGATACTTTAACGTATTTTTTCAAACCATGTGATTTTCATGTTTTTATCACGATTTTAAGCGTATAATTAACATTAATGTGTCGATAAAGTGGTATTATACGAGTTTTATTAATTAAAAATACATAGAAAACAATTCTACGGGCGCTAAAAGTTGTTATCAATTTTTAAAGCATGCTGGGATATTCAAAAATGGGATTTTCGAGGGTACTGTAGAATTTGGGAAGCACCAAAAGTCAAAAAATCAAAAAAAGCACACTTTAAAAGAATCAGATCGTTGACTAGGAGTTTAAAGCGTACTTTTAAAAACAGCAGCTGCGTGCGGACACGTCGCGGCTTCTCAAAAAAATTCCAAGAATTCAAAGGTTGAAAAACGGGCTAGAATAGGTAAGTAAGTCTGAAAATTTAACACTAACACAAAACAAAAAAGTTGACTAGCTGCAAAGCACCGAGATGTCACACTCCCTTTAAACGGACCGACAAGTCATGCTTATGAATCTTTTTCTCGACGGATTCCACATAAAGTTAGAAAGAGCCGCGGCATCCTGTAATTCAGTACGCTAAGCTACGCAACGCTACGTTTCGGTACGAGTGGTTGCGATCCGTTACGAGGCAAAATCTTGCGTTATGATACGCTACGGTACTTTACGGTACAACGGCTTGCGCTATATTATGCCACGTACCCCACGCTACGATATGCTAAGCTATGCGCTGCGTGCCGCTGGCGATCTATGACAAAAAAATCCAAGTTATGCCTTTTCAAGCCCTTTAACAGGGCGAGAATTCTAATCAAAAATTAGACACTTAACGATCATTAAAATTCTGTTAGTACGGGTGTTATTCGAGACCTTGGCGAGCCAGTCGGTCGAGCAAAGCGTCGGTGATTTCCGGAGCTCGGCGGTTAGATTCCTCGCGAAGTTGACGGTTTTGATGGACGCCGATGGATGGCTGAAATATCGCCCTCTCTCACACGCTCTCTCGTTATCTCTCTCACTCTCTGTCTTTCTCTCTCTCTCACTCTCACTCTCTCTCACTCTCTCTCACTCTCTCTCTCTCTCTCTCTATCTCTCGCACTCACCGTCTGCCTTTTCTCGCTCTATATCTCTTCTCTCTCTCTCAAACTCTGACTCTCTCTGTATCTCTGTATCTATCACTTTCTCTCTAACCCTCGCATACCTCCAAGTTTTCTTGCACCCCGGTCTGAAGCTCGATTTTGTCCTCCACCTCAATCGGTTCAAACTATAAAAATTCATTTCCGCTTCCGCGTCGCTAACCTCATCTAAAAATTCCTCCGCATCCTTCCTCTCAAGCACATAATGCGCACTCAACTAAAAGGCGCTAAAGTCTATCCCAAATTATCACGGTACCCGCCACGCGGTTTTCCCGGTCTCCTTGTCCTTGTGGTGCATTATGGCGAGTTCAACCAAACTCCCGATTTCCGGGTCCTTAAATGTAATAATATTGGCAATAACTGAACTCATACGCCAAGCCTTTGCTTCTCGTCCACATACATTCCCAAAATCGGATTCCGGAGCTCGAGTCCGTGCGGTCCGTGGCGAACGACTTGGAACAGGGCGTGGAACTTAAATTTTTGCCTTTTGCATGTATTTCAAGGCCAAATTGCGGCACGCTTAACAACGCGTTTTTCCATAAGTGCGAAAATGAACACGCTTGTTCGAGTTTCGCCAGCTAGGTGACGCGCGAAAGCGTGTGCAATAGCGGTTTGTTGCTGGCTATGAAATTTCGCTAGATGAGGTCGTGCAGCAGCGCTTTCCACTGATGCCGAATACGTTTTCAAAAGTTGGGGGAACCCCATTGGGTAGAACCGTCCGGTCCGTGGCGAACGACTTGGAACAGGGCGTGGAACTTGCTCCGTGATGGCGGAGCAAAACCTCTAATGGCGACACGTAATGGGTCGCGTCTTACTAGCGCTATGCCTTTCTTACAGGATAATCAAATACCCTAAAAGCTCGTGTATAGTTCCGGTACAATTTGGTTCCGTACCAATACAAATAACACCAAATAATGTGCGTAGGGTACAATTCGGCGCAAAAGCTCGGTAAGCCAAAAGAGCCGGTTCTCAGGGACTCATGCAGCAATTTCTTTCATTAAACCACTCAAATTGTTGGAAATAGTCGAAATACGAACAAATATTCCATCAAAATTGCAAAAATACCATTCGTGAGCGGCGTTATCTGCAAGCAACCGAAAAACGAAACTCACCTAATGACGGTCATACGGCATTACGGTCACTCCGTACACATCAAAATTTTCACCCGGAACTATACACGAGGGGGAACTATACACGAGGTTTTAGGGTGCGATATCTTATTATTACCCGGGGTATACTACCGGGAGTCGCGAGCGTTTTACGAAATTCCATTTCCCCCCAAGTGGCCTTCAGTGTCGGACAGCACCCCAAGAAACGCACCCCGGGTGCCTTTGAAACACGCCCCCGGGGGTCTTTGAAACGCACCCGGGGTGCCTTTCAAACGCACCCCGGGGTGCGTTTCAACGGCACCCCACTCCCTCGGGGGGTGCATTAATAGTGTCCCCGGGTGCGTTTAAATGCACCCCGGGGTGCGTTTCGGGGTGCTTTCGGGGTGTGTTTCGGGGTGCGTTTCGGCCCCACAGGTTGCAAAGAATAGCAAGGAAAGCCGATAAATAAAAGTATATTTGGCATAGGAATATTACAGATAAGTTTTACTAAGTTTCTATACAGAATTTATGCCATCCGACGGCTCCGCTTTTCAGTAAGATATAGTTGATAGCATGTGTTGGAGTTTTTAAACGATTTATGGTACGATTTTTATATTCTATCGGGGTTTAAAATGATTTTGCATATCATTTCCGCAAAAATTATGGAAATTATTTACGGGATTTCCAAAAATGGAACCGATAACAATTAATAGGAAGTGACTGGAGTAAGAAATAAGGCAAGAATAGCATATTGAAGGGTTTTATAAGAGTTTATAAGGTGTTATAAGGGTTTCTGCAATATTCCAATGCCATAAATACTTATATTTATCGGCTTTCCTTGCTATTCTTTGCAACCTGTGGGGCCGAAACGCACCCCAAAACACACCCCCAAACGCCCCCGAAACGCACCCGGGGACACTATTAATGCACCCCCCGAGGGAGTGGGGTGCCTTTGAAACGCACCCCGGGGTGCGTTTCAAACAGACCCCGGGGTGCGTTTGAAAGGCACCCCGGGTGCGTTTCAAAGACCCCCTGGGGTGCGTTTCAAAGGCACCCGGGGTGCGTTTCTTGGGGTGCTGTCCGACACTAGTGGCCTTCCCTTGTTTGTGCCTGCGCATTGTGGGCGTAGGAATTAACGAAATTCCACATTTACTGAATGTACAGCTAGCAAAATCGATATTCAAGGCTGGCCGCCCCCTATCAATCCAAAAATCCTGTCCTAGAACCCAATTAAAAAAAGACCTTGATAAGATATCCAATCCAATCCATTTCGATCGTCCTCGTCGGCAATGGGAGCACCTAAAAATTTTATACAAAAATGTTCATAAATTACTGACCTCGTATTCCAGTACCTTGCCGGAGTTCAGATTTTTGTTGAAGCTGCAAAATTGGTTTGAAAGTCGTCCACGGCTCACCTGACCCTGCATCTCACATAGCACCCCAAATCCGGCGCAGTCTCTCCAATTCGTCGCGAACTCGCTGTGAGGCAGTAACTCCCGATTTTTGTTACAATGAACAAGGTGGAAAGCGTTCGCCCGTCGGCGATGCCTTCCGTCTCCATCGGTGCGCTCCAATCGGGCATCCATGGCTGGAAGCAATCGATCATGAACATGCCACGCAAGGCATTTTTTTCTTGCTCACTAGACGAGACGAAATCATGGCTTAGGTTTGCAGGCTTAGGCTTAGGCTTAGGCTTAGGCTTAGGCTTAGGCTTCGCTTGTGCTTAGGCTTAGGTACAGGCTTAGATTTAGGCGCAGGTTAGGCTTTAGCTTAGGCTTAGGCTTCGCTTAAACTTGGGTTTCGCTTAGAACTAGGCCAGGCTTAGCCGTAGGCTTAGGTATGGGATTAGGCTTTATTAGACCTAGGGTTAGGCTTAGGCTTAGCTTAAGCTTAGGTTAGGTTTAGATTTAGGCTTAGGCTTAGGGTGAGGTTAGCTTAGATTAGGCTTAGGGCTTAGGCTTAGGCCTCGGCTTTGGCTTGGCTTAGGCCTAGCCCTAAGCTTAGCCTTAGGCGTAAGACTTAGAAAAATTTAATAACCACGAAAACCACAAGCTGGTCTACTTATTCCCCTAGTAAACTGACCACAATTGCGAGAAACTTGTCGATCTGCCTCTGCTCTTGTGTTACGGCCCGAAAATCGGAGCCCTGTACCTGGGAGGCCTTTGTACACCTAGGTCGCGAGAAGCTAGCAAATTTGAAATTGCCTGTTGTCACCTCCAGATCACGTTCTCGGCTGTTTCTGGGCAAAACTTGATGCTTAAAACACAAAAACTATTTAAAATTGAGTGAGGATTTCAAAAATGGGCTCAGAATGCGCAAATTATAGTGTTTTCACAAAGAAACCGGGCAAAAACAACTTCGCGCAAAAATCGAAAGAATGGGGGCTCTCGTCCCGCAGCGCCCGCTGGCAATTTGCCAGAAATCAAAGAGGCCTCCCAAAAGGGCTTTGATTTCGCAGTTCGGAGCCCCTATAAGTGACCTACCACGTCAACCAGCCCTCCCACACTTGATTTACGGCAAAGTCCGGGCGCGCCCAGATTGTTTCGAGCAATTCTTGGCTGATCTCGACCCTCCCCATCCAACCCGTAAAGATTGAAGGGGTATCCCAACCGACGATTGCCATTTGTGGTGCTGTCGGGACGCACATACGGCTGAACACCTGAACGTAAAAAGATTAATGTATGAATATAAATTAACGTATAAATCAATTAAATATAGATTAGCGTATAAATTCATGGACTCGGTTTAAAGTATACATTAAAACATAAAAATCGCAACCACAAAAAGCTGACTTTATGGCCTTGAAAAAACGCACCCGCAAACCATCTTCCGCTTGCTCCAGATCCAAAAGACGATCCCCATCATCTGGGTACAGCACGCACGCGACACCATTGCTAAATGTAAGGAAATTTCGCAACTTGGTAAAAGGCAAGTAGATTCTCATTCGTTTCGAGGAATTTGCAGCTAGCCGAAAGTTCTTCCCGTCTGAATTGATCTCCCCGAATTTCGTCCCACCGAGCGCCGTTTCCATGCTGATTTTCTTCACCACTTTTACCTATCAACTACAATAAAAAGGTTGTGGTGCCTGTGTGAAGCCGCATTCAACTCGAAGGGGAAAGGCGCTAGAGCTTAGCTCTCTCCGGATTCAGATAGAGCGTGATCAGAAACCAAAACTGATAAAACTTATGAAAAAGTTTTATTTTAAATTATTAAATGTAACTTTGAAAGTTTTTTCCTTAGTAAAAGGAGTGGGGACGGATGTTTGCGCGATTTTCGACATAGTGAGCCAGGTGGCGCGCGTTTCGTGGCGTTTCCACATTTCAGAAAACTGCCATCGGGCTTCTAGAACAAGCGTAAAAACTCAGGTAAAAACCCTTTCATCAAAAATGCATCAGAAATGCGGCCCTTTTCGTTAAAATATTCGCAAATCTATCAGCGCTTGAATTTCGAAAATTCGAAAGAATATACCGTATTTCCTCTAATATAGCCCCCCCCGTCTAATATACCCCAAAAAAAAATTTTTTTTGAAGTTGCCTCTAAGAAGTAAAAAAATGCCAAAAACCTTTTTGTTCAAGCTTCGTTTGTTTGCTAAATAGTTGTGATCGGTGCTGCTAATGCTAGAAATTGTCGTAAATGCTCAAAACCATAAAAAATATATCCTTCCCTCTAATACCACCCCTCCCCTAAGGTGATTCAAAAAAACATAACCCCCGGGGTCATCCTAGAGGAAATACGGTATATCCCTATTGTTAGCTCATCGAGGGCTTTCGGAAGATACCTCTATCGTCAAAAAAGGATACTCGTCCCTACCCTAGGGTTTGGGCAGGGTTTGGGAAACCCTGTAGTTTAGTAAATACGGCACGTTATTAGCATTCCTATTTAGCATTCGGCAAGTGAAATTCGGTGAGATGAAATTCGGCGAAATAAAATTTGACGAAATCCACATTTATTACCGAAACAGACCTCGATTCGAAAAAGGCGTGGCCCGGGTCCATGGTGAGGGCTTTTTGTTGACAACGCTTGTTCATCGGGATGAAACCGCCGGCACTCGGGGCCCACAACACTGGCCCACCGTCTCGGCCGGGCAATAGGAGCGCCGAGAAACGTGGTGGACCCTCACGGCCCATCTCAATTTAACGAGTTAAAGGGGCCGGAAAGCGAGAACGTCGTCCCTCTTCCATCAACAGCAACCGAACAAGGGAAAACACGAGTCAAAGGTAGATTTACCACTAGATCGGCGAAAATTGGAATATTGAGAAGCGCTTTGTCGAAAATCACATTGTCGAAATTTCTAGTGATCAAAGCGACTGTTGAAATTCCGATATTTAGAAATTTAGAATGTGAAAGCCACATTGTCACAAACCACTTCCCAGATTGCATTTTAGAAATTTGATTTTGTCGAAAGCTCAATTTTCGAGATTTCAATCCACATACTGAAATCACAATGTAGAAAATTAATACGTCAAAATTGTCGAAATTTCAATATGTTAGAAAGATGCGTATTGTCAAACTTTCACTATGCCGAAAATTTATTAAAATAGCACCTGGCACATTACTTAGTTGTCTGCCAATAGTAAGACTTGCAAGCTCGAAATATACGGTACTCCCAATGGCAATCTTGAAAAACAAGCTTATTTCTTTACATCACGGATCATAAGCTTATATACTGATGATTCAAATTCAGCACAGTATGCCGCAAAAAACAACAAGTTATAACCTAATGGTCACTGGCACATTCATGCGGGGAACACCAAAAGAACTGGGTAGGGCCATTTCATAGCATCAGCAAAAAAATAGTGTGGCCCTGGCGGAGAGGGGAAACGGGAGGGGAGCAAAAAAAGGAGCACGAGCTGCTCCCTTTCGCGCAAATCCAGGGCCAGCGGCCGAGGTGGCCAGCGGCCTTCTTTTTTAGCCGAAGCTGGTCTCCATCGGTCACTCGCTCTCTCTCTCTCTCTCTCTCTCTCTCTCTCTCTCTTTGTTCTCTCTCGCTTTCTCTCTCTCATTCTCTATCTCTCTCTCGCTCTCATTCTCTCTCACTCTTTCTCCATCTCTTTCAGATCACAGTCTTCTCAAACATGAAAGAAACCGGAGCATTTATTGCATAAAATAAACCCCAAGAATATCAATAGCCAACAACAGTCAAGACACCAAGAATTTTAGAGGAGTTAATAAGATCTTAAAAAACTTTAAAAACACTACATATATGCGTAATCATTTGAGCATCAGGTCAGCAAGCTCCAAGAATTTATCGGTAACTTCCGGAACTCTTTGGATGCTCTCGTCGAAGGATAGCTAAAAACATGGGTTTCGTTCCCTCTCATTCCCTCTCTCGCTTTCCCTGCCCCTTTTTCTCTGACTCTTGCTCTCCCGCTCTCGCTCTCTCTCTCTCTCTCTCTCTCTCTCTCTCTGTCTCTGTCTCTCTCTTTATTTCGTTCTCTCTCTCACTCACGCTCCTCTAGATCACCTCAGAATTTTCCATCAAGCTCGATGCCGCACGAAGTTCATCTTTTGGAGTTGAACTGACTTCATTGATTCGGTACAACTACGTATCAAGTTTTGGAGAAACTTTAAGATGATCGCTACCTCATCATTAGTGCGTGACGACGATACCGAGCGTTGATCGTATGGTAGCGTAGTGGATTCCCTAAAGATTATTTCATTTCAATCCTGTTTTCTATAGCTTTCTCTCTCTCTCTCTCTCTCTCTCTATGAAAACGTACAACGAATTCCTCCTCATCTGATCAAAAGGTGGAACTACCGCCATAGGTGGTCTCTCTTCTTCAATAAAATCGGAATGTACGATCCATTCCAATCCGGAATCCGACTTTGGTACGGCTCTGATTACGACATGGAATTTATCACCGGGCGCAGGGTCCTGAAATTTTATGACTTGGAATCATTGGGAGGTTGACGAGCTGCTAGAGAGAGATAGAGAGAGAAAGAGCGAGAGGGTGAGAGAGAGAGAGAGAGAGAGAGAGAGAGAGAAACCTACCGCTAGAATTTCATTTCGATCAGGAATTTCCCCGAAAAATTCATCTTTCAGTATCGGAACTCGTTTATTCTTTTCCTGACGATAGCTGGTGAATACAAGATTACGACAGCGGAACTGAAAGAATTTTAAGGATTTAGAGGGACATCGAAGCGTTAGAATCGACCCCTTTGACGTCGCGACTCTCGTCTCCACTCTCTCTCGAGAGGTCTCGACAGCTACGCGTTGTGTCATAGGACGCCCTTACAGTAATTTAGAAGCAGGCTTTGGCCCTGCAATGATTGTCATGGCTCTCAAAACAAGTTTGTCAGTTTTTTGGTGGGGCTCGTAGCTCAAAACGGTCGATTTTTGCCTGCTCAAACCCTTTAGACCCTATGCTGAACGCCCTTACATTCGCCTTCTTCTCGTCAACAATAGGTTGATGAACATCAGGAATCGCCCGGCAATCTGTGATTTCCCAGCCATAGTTCAGCTTCTTGTCGAGAACGGGAGTGTCCAGCTTGCTAAAAGTTGTAACTATGAAAAATTGTATCCAGGTTAACTTGACACTCTCCCCTTTAAAAGCTCGAAGTGGCAACTCACGAGACAAAAACCTCGTAGAATCGACCCAACTGCACCCGTCGTTCCCCTTGTTCGGGCCATTCACGGCAATCGTAAACTGCCAGACGTCCATCTTTTAGCCACAAGACACGGTAGTGGCCCCAAATTTTCACGCAAACACCTGAAGTATGATTCTTGCTGGAAAATTCATGCTACCCCTGATCCGTTGTTTTTCCGAGGTTCTAGAGGACTTGCGGACTTCTTGGGAGGTTTCGGGTTGGTCTCGAAGTTCATCGCTTTGAATTTTTTGCTTTTCTGAATCCATCAATTCGACACCACCGAAATTTCATACCGTAAGTTTGTGGTGCAGCGATCCGGCCAGGCTTAGGTTGTGAATTCGAAGGCTCTATTTCCCTAGTCCGATTCTCAGCAGGCCGGTCGGAAACACCGGATCCAGATGGTTCTCGCCGGAACGAGCACGTGGAAGCTATAAAAAATTAAATTAACTAGTTAATAGTTCTGTGTTTAACAGAGAAATAGCTTATTTTATTAACTGAACCAACTAAATTAAACAGGTTTTTTCATAAAGCACAGTTTGGCGCGTTTTGTAAGAGAAAATACACGATTTTCACGACTTTTTGCCACTAAAAACAAACCTTCATCTTCGAGTGGGTATTTTGTTTGCAACTGGCTGTCACGTTCTGGTATCAGAATTAATGGGCGTATGCCTACGTAGAATTCGTTAGTATGGATAAATTTGGCCTTATTACTATTTTGAGACGCCGTTTTTGGTGATTCACCATCGGTAGTTCGATCCGAACTTGACTTGCTGTTTCCCTCACTTGATCCCGACTGGAAAATAAAATTACGTCGTTTCTTTAAAATTCACCTCAACCCGTATCGGCCGACAGGCTAATATCTCCCGCACAATCCATCCACTCGCGCCATTTCTGCTGGGAATCCGCGTCCGAACGACCGCGACGAGCAATTCGGTGTCCCGGAATTGATCGCCTTTCGCGTGCTAAGAATAGAACAGGGTTTCCAATTGTTCTAATACAATCTAAGCCAGTGGAATTATGAAAAAAAATTTGGAAAAAGTGGAAAAACTCTGGAAAATTTTCCCTAGTCTAATGAAAAATCCTTTTAAGCTTTTTTAGCGGAAGTTTAGTTATTTATTTTTAATACAATGCTTACAATTCCACCGGGCGGCGTAATTCGATTCACATCGCAAATCGTCTTCATGTAGCGATTCGAGAAAATGGGATACCCATCGGGCGAACCCCGGGCGTACCCCACAAAGCGGCACGGGCACTTCATCTGAAGTTTTGGAAGTTTTACAGTAGTAGCAATCTGGTCGATAGCCATCATCCCTCCAATATTTCGAAAATCGTAATGCCAAAATTGCACAATGTCGGCATTTTCTAATTTCGAAATTGCATAGCTTCGAAATTAAATGAGCAAATTTCCAGGTAATACCCCTCCCCGTACTTGTGAAAAAAGTATCGACTTGATCTAATTACGACAATCAGAGATTTCTATAGGATGAATTTTCCGCTTTAGACATTTTCATATTACGAATCTCGACATTTTAAAACTACCCCTTGAATAGATTACCTCACAATTCAATTTCCATTTTTAAATTAAAAACACTCACCACAACCAAGCCACGCTTCGATATCTCCATAACTCCAAAATCCTCGGGCATCGGCAGCTTTTCGTATTCAAAAATAGCTCGCCGCCGTGACAACGAGTTTTTGTCAGGCTCCGGTTCTCTTAAATACACAACCTTAAAAATCCTGACGAAGTAGAAGAATAACATTTGCCATAACCAACCCGACATCACAGCGGAGATGATCACCGGCTGCTACGGGATCCCCCGAAAGTTCGATTTTTCGGGCCCTAAAGGACGCACTGCGGAAAGAGCCTAAAACTGACCCAATCACCCCTTCGAGCCCATCCTCAAATGCCACGAAGCAGATGCCGTTGTATATGTTGGCGACGAAGCCATGCAATTTTGACCCCCGCGGAGGTCTTATGGAGAGCGGCTTTGACATTGGTGGTTTCTGCGCAAAATGATACTTTAACAACAAAGAAAGCAAAACTTCCGAAAGTCTGAAAGGTATGCGAAAGGTCGCAAAGCTGTAAAAACTGAGCGTTTTCTGTAATCTTACAGCGTGGCCGGCACTGTTTTATTAATTCAGGGTCGAAAGCTGTCTCGGCAACGCATCGATTATCGGCATTTTCTCTATCTCTCCCTCTGTGTCTGTCTATCTCTGTTTCTCTCTTTCTCTTTCTCTCTCTCACCCTCTCTCTCCCTCTCTCTCTCTTTTTCTCTCGCTCTCTCGCTCCCCCTCATAATCTAGTACCCCCAACTCTTTTAAAATCAAAACTTCAATGGCTTGAGAATTTATTACATGAAAAATCAATCAGGAAGCCACAATAAAACGAAAATGGATACCACAGCAAACAATTAAAAATCACATTTCGAGAACAGAGACCCTGATCAAATCAACCTAAAATCTGCAATTATTTTAGCATCAGATCGGCAAGCGCCAAGTATTTATCGGCAACTTCCGGCTCTCGGTGGGTGCTCTCGTCGAAGGGCAGCTAAAATCGCGGTTTTCTCTATCTCGATCTATCTCGCTCTCACTCTCTCGCTTTCTCCCGCTCGCCGGCCTCACCTCGAAATTTTCCGTAAATCCGGCGATCGATTGCGCTTCGTTTTTCGGTGTTGAACGAGAATCATTGATACGGGACAACTAAAAAACCAGTTTTTGAACAAAAACTCGAAAAATGGTCGTTACCTCATCGTTAGTGCGTGACGACGATACTGAGCGTTGATCGTACGGTAGTGTAGTCGATTCCCTAAAGCTGATTCCCTAGTGAACGTTTCAAAGGTATTTTCTATAGCTCACTCTCTCTCTCTCTCTCACTCCCTATGAAAACGTACAACGAATTCCGCCTCATCTGATCAAAAGGTGGAACCACCGCCACAGAGGGTCTCTCTTCTTCGATAAAATCGGAATGTATGATCCATTCCAATCCGGATTCCGATTTTGGTACGGCTCTGATTACGACATGGAATTTATCACCGGGCGCAGGGTCCTAAAACGACATTTATGAGATGGAAACATTGGAAGGTTAACGAACAGAGAATGTCGAGTAGAGAGAGAGAGAGAGAGAGAGAGAGAGAGAGAGAGAGAAAGAGAAAGAGAGAGCAACCCACCGCTAGAATTTCATTTCGATCAGGAATTTCCCCGAAAAATTCATCGTGCAGGATCGGTACCCTTTTGTTCGCTTCCTGCCGGTAGCTGGTGAATACGAGATTGCGGCAACGGAACTGAAAGAATTTTACAGATTTTAAAGGGTTAAAGTCGCTTGAAGCGACTCCTTTACAGACTCTGCTCGACAGCTACGGGATACACCAGAGTACGTGTTGAGACGAATTTAGAAGCAGGCCTTGGCACTGCACTGCCATCATCAAGGCTCTCATAAATGGGTTTGTCCGGATTTTGGTGGGGATTTTGGAGCTGTCGAGATCTAGTCATGCAAACCGGTCGATTTTTGCCTTCCCAAGCCCTTGGGGCCCGCTGACGAAAGCGCTTACATTTGCCTTTTTGTCATCAACAATCGGTTGATGAATATCCGGAATCGCCTGGAAATCGGTAATTTTCCAACCGTAACTCAGCTTCTTATCGAGAACAGGAGCGTCCAACTCGCTAAAAAGTGTTAATTTATGAAATCGCACACCTGTCACGCTACCTTTAAAACGTCAAAATTCCACTTACGCGACGAAAACCTCATAGAATCGACCCAGTTGCACCCCTAGCTCTCCTTGATGAGGCCATTCACGACTGTCGTACACTGCCATTCGCCCGTCGTACAGCCATAAGATACGGTAGTGGCCCCATGTCTTCACGCAGACACCTGGAGTATTTGATTTTATTGCGATAAAATTAATATCACCACGAATCCGTTGTTTTGAAGAAGTTTTCGCAGGCGAACGCGGTGTTTCGGAGGTGCCCGGCTCGTCTCGGGCTTCGGGTTGTCCTCGGGTCCTTACGTTCACCTCCGGTAACTTCGGGCTCGGCCGTATCGAGCCAAGCGGAACTCGAGATAATTCTATGATTGCTGCTATAAGCATCTTTGCCGCATCAAACCTGCAGTTGCTTGGCGAGATTTACGAATCCTGCCGGAAATGCGTGAGTTAATCGAGCTGGTAGAGGCTGAAATGATCGTATAATTCGGACTTTCTTGGAGTAGACTATTATGAATTCCGTGAAATTTTCTTCTCGATCCTAAGTCGTTCATAACGTTCGAAAAGTGGCGATTTCGCGAATTTGGGAAGCCTGTTCGGAATCAGCGTAAAATTCTGCGCATGGCAGACCAACTTTAAACCGGGCCACACTAAAAAAATCTAATCTTAAAGTCAAAATGTAAAAAAACGTAAGAAATTAAGAGCGTCTACAAGAATAAAAAATTTAAAAGAAAAATAAAAATAAATTTAATCTAAATTTTAAAACAAATGATATGCCATCAAGTTGCCTTAAACTATATATGGGTCGGGGCCTGCGGGCGCCGCCAAATGCCCCTCTCGAGGAGCCTTTTGGGGGCGTCTTGGGTGGGGCCGGCGGGCGCCGTGGGTGGGGCATTTTTCCGGTATGCAGCGATGCAAATTGCGAAAAAACGCTTTTCAGATGACTTTTTGCAATTTACATCGCTGCATACCGGAAAAAATGCCCCACCCACGGCGCCCGCCGGCCCCACCCAAGACGCCCCCAAAAGGCTCCTCGAGAGGGGCATTTGGCGGCGCCCCCAGGCCCCGACCCATATATACCTTAAACCAGTTATAAATCAGCTACAGATTTTTAACGTACCCTCATCATCACGGCCGTCATATTGCCGGGTTTTCAATTTTTCGGGCGACCGGTAACTTTCAAGCTCCGGAATTAGAGGGCGGATTTCTAAAATCCCTTATTTCCCAGATATTCGCTATTTTCACCTGTCTCAGGCGCAACTCTTCCCGAATCGCCCTCGATGATCCCGTCCCAGGTTGGCCCAATGCGCCGCCCATCATCGGTGACCGCCTAAAGATGCTACTTTTTCCAATAAATACTCTTACGTCTTGCCGTGTCGATCGGCTGCCTAAAAGCTCCCGGACAATCCAGCCACTCTCGCCGTTACGCCCCGGAATTCGCGTCCGGACGACGGCCACCAAGAATTCGGTGTCCCAGAATTTTTCGGGGGTAGAGAGCTGAATTAAATTTGTTTTTGGCAAACATTAAATAACTCTAGATGGTTATCTAGAGTTCTCTAGGTCCTATGGTCAAAGCATGCACTAATCCAAGGATGTATCTCCAAACCGGCAAAAAAGCATGAAACTTACAGATTTTGCCGGAGGCGTCCTGGAATCAATATCGTGAATCTCGTGCATATGGCGATTGGTAAACACGGGGTACCGGTTGCGCGATGTCCCGCCAATGCTGTCAAGATGACAGCGGCATTTCAGCTGAAAGAATTGGTGTCAAATGGGCTGGGAGGTCAAAAATCCGGGTTTCGGATTCGAAGATTTTTGGCAATAAAATAATGGTAATGCCTAAGCGTCCCACAACATGCCACAACATAGCTGCAAAAAACCTCAACTAAACGTTTAGCGCTTAAAAACTCGGGGAAAAACCGAAAAATGACGTATCGCGAATTCAGGTTTGAAGGCGGCAAAACATCCTTCTTAGCCCTCTCAAGCTGCAAAAAAAAAGAGAGAGAGAGAGAGAGAGAGAGATAGAGAGATAGAGAGAGAGAGCGCGCGAGCGAGGGAGCGAGCGATGAGAGGAATGGGTCTTTAAATATAAATCCGTGATAATTTAAGGAAAATCCCAGTTAGAGGACCCACCACAGCCATCCCTTTTTCAGCCACTTCCAGCAGCCCAAATGAGGCCGCATGCGGCTGCTTCTGATATTGGTAGATCTGTCTGCGTTGCGTCGTCGCCGAGGTGCTTTCATGCGCATACTCCGGGGCGCTGAACAAAAATATATTCATGATACTTTAGCAAGCCCAGAAACGTCAGAACGCTCCTACCCAGCCTCGCACCGCAAAAAGTCGCCCACTTTCAGTAGTTCCCTGGCGGGGGTCTTCGAGTCTCTAAAAAATTACCCTCATTGTCGTCTATAATTTTTTCATAATTAAAGCAAACTCAATTTAAATATAAAAATTTATAATTAATTTCGTAAAAGAACGTACCCGATAAGCCCTTCACAACCATCTTCGAACGCCACGAAAAATATTCCGCCGCATCGGTTGACGACGAAACCGTATAATTCCGTATGCATCGTAGTTCTTGAATTCCGACTCGCCATTCGCGATTCTCAAATAAAATAATTTACGAAATCTAAGTAGTATTGAAAATGAAATAAAACTAAAAGCCTGGGATGCTTAAAAACGCGTTTAAAACCAAATTTGGCTGAAACAGAAAGGTGCGTTTTTGGAATTTTCGTAAGCCTTTTGTGGTCGAAGAATATTGAAAACAGCCTTGAATCTATGGTTTGGGCAGCCGAACCCCGATCGATTAGGCCATATAAATGCCGGGCACTTCTGGGAGCCGAGGGAACGGGAGAGAGGTGAGGGCGTAGACACCTCGGGGCCTTTGTTTCTGCCCTCGGGTGCCAATAAGAATATGAATCAGTCGCACGCTCGGCAACCATTAAAATGTATTGGCTGCTGACGTTAACATTGTCCTTGCATTGATTGACGCGAGCAGATTTAATTATTAGTTTTTAAAGGGATAGCGACGCTTGGATCGGAATAATTTTTCGAGGGGAAAAAATTTTGTTTTGTTTCTATTGAATCTGAATCCTTGTATTTAATTAATTATTTACAGCTTTTTACAGATGAAAAAATCAATCAAAAATCAAAAAATTCCTTGAAAATGCTTGTAAAAGCTACGTTTTTTGCCATGAATCAACGCTTCCATTTTTCCCTGCCGATAAAATCGTGGCTGTACTTCTTCTACCTGTCCGTCCAAAATTCGTAATCGTCTGGCTGTCAATCCAAAGATCGAATGGAATAGATGTTTTAATGTATCAGATTACCTTTCACTGTCAGGTGACACGCTCAGATAATCGAAATTCTTCATTTCGCCCCGCCGACGCCACGAGGCATTTCTGGACTAATAGAGCAGAATTTGATTTAATCAAAATTCAGACATAAATCTTCTCTAAAAATAAAGTTTTTTAGACTTTTCATAAATTTAAAATCAATAATAAAAAATAATCATATTAATTAGTACTTCAAATCCTTAAAAACCACCCAAGCAACCACAAGTTTTATTCACCGGAAACATAGGGAAACAACGAGGAGGGAGGAAATTGATGGTAGAGCACACTTTAACAACTGTAAGGACATTAACGAAATTAAAAAGCCACTTTTAAACCCTTAAAAACCCTTAACAACAACAACAACAACAACAACAACGAACAGATACCTAATGACACCCAGTAAACAGACATTTAACGAATCTGCGACAAAGGGATTTTAAAAAAATTCAAGGCCGTCAGAAAAATAAGCGGAAAAGTTGTACGACTAAATTGCAAAGTCGCATGGTAAAAATGACAAGTATAACGAGGGCATCAACGGAACTTATTAAAGGGGCTGAGACCAGCGTCAAACGACATTTTTAAGCTCCAGGCGTCGAGTCGATGTAGTCAGCGGCATTCCAGTTGACGTTGTTTTCCGAGTCGACCAGGTGAGTGGCCGTCTTCTTGTACTCGTCGGTGAGCTCGGAACTCTAAACGGAAGAATAAATCGCAAACAATTAGGTACTTGTGCAATATAGGGGGGGTGGTGGAGTTAATGGGGCTAATCTCTCATCATAAGTCCAGTATGCCATGAAACGTAATAAAAAGAATTTAATGTTGTTTTAGAACCTTAGCAAAATTTAGAGCTTTGTACAACTTAGAAAAACGTTTAAAAGGTTTCCTTTCTATCGAAAACCGATATTTTCGAATTTTTAAAAAGGTTTTTTTTTGAAGTTTTTCAGCTAGGAATATTGAAAAAAACTATTTACGGGAACAGGAAGCCGCGAAAACCTTGGCTCTGCTTGGGGATAAAAATTAATAAAATGTTAAATACAACGAAGATGGCTCACAGTAAACAAATAAATAACTATTAACAGTACTTGAAATTCTGCCCCGATGTTTAAAAACCAACAATGAGAAAAGCGAGAGTGGGAGTGAGAGAGAGAGAGAGGGAGAGAGAGAGGGAGAGCAACATATTCAATTTATTACCTTCGGGCAACGCGATCCAACGTCATCTGAACCTTTCATCGAGAGCGCACAAAACGAGTCGATCAGTGCTTTCGATTGCGCAGAAAGCGTCCCGGCGCGTGGCGCGTCACAAGGAGCCTCGTGGCTCTTCTCGTCTCGCAATTCTGATGGCGCCTCGTCGGCCTCATCCCAGGTCACATCCGATGAAATATCGCACAGGGCATAGGAAGGCGTGTCAGATCGGGCATCGTCATCGGGTGAGCCGGAGGCTTCTGCGGCTTCGCGTACTTCGTGATCTTTATCTGGAAAAAAAGGGAGTAAGAGCTTCCTCTACCCCCAGACGGAAATACTAAAGTTTTTTTAAGATTCGCTATTTAAATTTAGGATTTCGATAAGACTTCCGATTTAAAAATTTGCGAAAAATAAATATTAACAATTAGACATTAAAGAGGTTTTATAGGTCCTCCGGGCTGTTTTTCGACGTAACTATTTTAAATTGAAAAATTTTGATTTGAAATCAAAAAACATACAAATATTTTTTAACTTTGTATCGAATAATGTTGAATAACTTTTGTAAAAAGCAAGAAAATTTCAAAGATTCGCTTACCAAAGTCATTTCCGAAAGTTATTTCTGTTTTTGCTATAACTATCCTCTACTTAAGATTCTGCCTATATTTTTCGGCACCCAATAAAATGCCGAAAAACGGTACCGAAAAAATTGCGAAAAAATCGTCAATTTTAGGACCCTCGCTAAAGTGAACCTTGGCCAAAAATTACCATAAAACGAACCAGACGATGCGGCCGATTTTGGGAATGAAGGCGGAGGCAGAAGCGGCGCCCACGTCTTGACCACAGAGAGTACCAAAAGTCCGACGACTCCAATCTGGGTGCCGATCTCGACGTCTAGCCGTTCGCCGGCTTTCCAGATTCTCTAAAAACTCATTTTTTAAGAGAAGGTTCTGGACTGTTAGCGGGGGGGGAACCAAATTTTGCCCAGTGATTCTGTACGGCCTATAACGAGATACAGCAACCTGTATAGAATTTTTCATGTTTTTTTTAGCTATAAGAAGATCTTTTAAATATATGAGATTTATAAAAAATTTATATAAATTTTCGGAACACGTTGGGCGTTGATAGGAAGATGTGAAAAAACCTCAAAAACCGTCTAAATTTTCGATTTTCAACATTTAAAAAAATTTTTATAACTTTCTAGCAATCAAAAACTATTAAAAACACTATATCGTATAAAAAGGTGGAAAAACAAAAACTATTAAAAACAATATATCGCATAAAAAGATGGAAAAACAAAAAGCGGTTTGCCCCCTGCTAAAAATGTTACCCGCAAAAGGTCCAGAACCTAAAAATACTCCCGTACCTGACGATGAAAGCTATCCTTGATCTTGCCAAAAACCGGATGCAGGAAACTCCGATCGGGCTGCACCTCAACGACCGCACGATACTAAACCGATTAAAAGCGTCAAGTGCAGCAAATACCTTAGCTTCTCGTTGTGGAAGCTTCCAGACGAGTGTCATGTCGCCAGGCAAGGGCAGCACCTCGTATTCCACCACCTGGCCTTGGATCCGTTTACCGTTGGCGTAGGGTCTAAAACAAGGACTTGACTGATAGCTGGTGCGGGGGCAGAAGGGAACCAATTTTTTTCCTTGTTTTCCCTACTACAAAACATAAAAAAAATTTTATGGTCTTTTAAACAACTTTTAGATACGAAAACCCATAAAAAATTATTATCATTGTAGAAAATTTTGGATTTTCGGCCGAAAATCTACAAAAATGCCTTAAAATCTTTCTAGAAATTTATAACGATCAAAAAGTAAAGCGTAAATGTTATCAGTCGCACCTCACCAAGCAGTCTATCAAAACACCCATATCCGGCGCGTGGTGACCATGGCGGTAGGCAGAGGCGCTCAGCAGAAAAGTGCCCTCGACGCAGGCCACAAACGAGCCGAATGGTGTACGGTTGACGATTACGCCGCGCACCCGTCGCAGCTCCAGCCGGCATGCGTCCGGGTTCCACGGCTGAAAAAACCCGATGACAATTTTTTAATTTTTTAGCTGATAGCAAGCATTTTGGCAGGCTTGTTTCATAGTATTTAGTTCGAATTCAAGAGGATAACGTTAATTTTTTATCGTTAAATTTAGCAAAAATTATAATTCTAAATTTTCGTCGAAAATCCAAGTTTTATGTTGATTTACAACATTTTTTATTTAGGTATTGTAATCGAATCGTTTAAAAATAATTTCTCAAACTATCTCAAAAAAAAACGGATGCTAAAGAAGGATCACCGATAATATTAAAAGAGCGCGTGAAACCAACCACGAGTCGCAGCTGCTCGGCCCGTCTCGCCTGATCCGGGTGATGCGTCAGTTCTTGGCCGTCGAGCACTTGAAATTCTTCGCAAGACGGATTCCTAAAATAAGCTGTTTTAAAGAGATAGGGGCGGCATAAGTCAATCGATTACGCGAGGGAAAGAAAATGTCTCTGCGCCTCTCCCCTGGGCGCCCTCTCTCGCCGCGGGACCTGATGACCCCCCCCCCCCCCCCCCTCCCCAAGGGGGGGGGTTCAACAGATGCCGTCCTCATCTCTTTAAGAGCGCCTTAAAAATTCCAGTTTTTTGAAAATTTTTAAATCCTGAATTACTAAACTACAAAGCCAAAAACAGGATCAAAATTATGGAAAATGATAGAATTTCTCATGTGTTTAGTTCCAATATGTTTTTGTAACGCATTAGTGATCGAATCCTGGCAAAATCAACAACAAAAAACATTAGGCAATTGTTAATAGACATGTTTGGGACGAAGTAAATAAGATTAGTTTTGGTTTTAATTCGACCTTACCATCGCAGTAGCCCTTCGTAGGCGTAGTCGGGCTTGAAGCCTGGATCGTTGCGCAGTCCGTCAAGCACTTCCTCTTCGATCAGGACGCGGCCCACGATCGTCGACCAGACGGCCGTCTGCGTCCAGCCGGCCAACCGCTGCTGCTCAACGGTGGGGAGGACGAGGCTCGATTTCATCTAAAAAGGCCGAGTTCCAAAAACGCGCCAAAACAGTAAGTTTGCAAGCGGCAAGAAAAAGCTTGAAAAACTTACACAAAAGTCTTCGCCGCGAAATGTGAATTCCCAGATAAACGGAGCGGGGGTGATGTTCATGGCGGCGCTATCCCTAAAAAATAAAAAATAAGTAAAATAAGATAAAAATATGTTCGCAACGACTGTGCTCAGACTTGCGTCAGAACGTAAAAATCTGACAAGTAAAACGTACCTCGTCATAAAGTGAACCCATTTGTAGCGCAAATTGTGCAAGCCGAATTGGTGGCCGTTGGCAATCGGGTAGATTCCGCCGAATTGCGCCCAGATCAGCGGCTCGTTGTTTCGATCGGGCAAGAGCAGGCCGCTCAGCATCTGAAAAACGCCGAGCTTTATCAGGGAAACCAAGTTCTACAAAGACATTTGCAGGGAAGCCCGTAATTCTCAAGTGGGAAACCCTCAGTTTCACTTTATAAAAGTTTCAACCTATTATTTTTTTCGAAGTATCGAATATGTCCAGGAAGCTACGCAATTTGGTGCCACGTCAGCTACACCAGCAAAAAAAAACGGAGCTTTTCGATTGGTTCTTTTCAAAACTTGTAAACCAAGTTTTTCACCAAACTTTTGAAAGCGTATCAGTAAATTTTAACCATTTACAAAGTGGAAAAACAATCCAAAAACTTACAAAAAATTTCCTCGCAATTTGTAAGGTTTTTACAATTGGGAATAGTAGATACACCATCTATTTAATATAGAACACCCCCCCCCCCCGATATTGCCAAAGAGCCTAAAATTCAATAGAAATACTCAAATTCGCCGCAACTTTGCCTTGAACAGCCATCCCAGGGAAATGTTACAGTAATCGATTACATTGTTTGTCTTTCAGTAGTTCGAAACAACGAACGGTAGCGTTATATTCAGGTGTGTTCTGCCATCTATTTATATCATAAAACAAAACCGGTAATGCAACCACGCTTCAAAAGCACCCTTGCAAAGCTCTTTAAATCCACCTTGGAAATGCCGAAAACAATATGATGGTGAGGCAATAAAGCAAAATAAACAGCAGCCAAATAAATGAAGTGAGTAATAAGAGCAGAATGGTGGGGACAAGTTGCTATTGGTCAGTGTTCGAGCGGAGGAGCGCTTGTGCCTTTTCGAGGGCTTCCGGTTGACGCCTCTGGATGGCTTCTTTCACCCTCGAGTTATTCAACATGGCGATCACCAGCTCGCGGTGGGTCATCTAAAAAGACTTTGCGTTAATTTTGGGGGCTAAAAAACCTCAGGCATGGCCTCGCCGGACTGCGAACTGTTTGAGGATATGCCGTAGTCAGACTCGGAGTCCTAGAAATAATTTTAAAATGATTATAAAGCAAAATACCCGTCGCAAATCATGCTTGGCGCCGGGCACGACATCCGGAATTGGCAGCGCAGCGACGGTGGATTTGGTGCTGGATAATTTTTGGTGCTGGTTTATTAGCGGGGGGAGGGCATTTTTCGCAGGGGAATTTTTTCAGTTTTTATAGAATTTTCCGCTGATTTTCGATTAAAACGTGTATAAAAGTGATCCAAAATTTAGTAAAGGTTACGAAAAATAAAAAGTACAGAAAAGCTGCACTACTTTTAGCAAGCGAAAAACTACTAAAAATTAGGTAAAATATTTAAATAATGAAAACTAAAACAAGTAAACTAAAAAAGGATAGAATTTACCATTATGAAGGCAAAATATAACGGGGTACCCCCGCAAATGAACCAGCGCCCATTTTAAACGTTATTTAAAATCTTACATGATCTCTGGCTTTTTCTCGGCCAACTCCGAGGGCTTGTCATTTCCGTGCGGTTCCGCTTCTTGACTTTCGACAACCCAATCGATCGTGGTTTCGGAAGTTATCTCCGCCCTGATGGTCACCTCGATTTCGTCGTCCGGCGCCGGCTCGAGCTTCTAAATTAGTTTTTACGATACAATTTTTTTTTCTGCACCTCCAAAACATCATCCCTGTCCAAAAATTCGCCAAAGAACACATCGTCCAGCACGACAACGCGCTTGTCCTCGAATGGCCGATATTCCAGCACTCGCGCCTTGGGGCAAACGAACTACAAAAAGATCCAAATGACGCTTTACAGAGAATTCAAACCAACCCTAGCCCATTGGCCGTCAGTCAGCGGCTCGACGTCGTACGCCTCCTCGCAGGGCCAGAATCCATTCACCTGCCAGTCGTAGCGCATCCGCTTGTCGTACATCGGCTTTCCGAGCCTCCTGAAATAATCAGATTTCGAAAACAATCGTTAGATAAGAAATTTTAAATGAAAAGTATTTTTTCGATTTCTCGACCAACTATGATCGATCTCCACTCAAAGATCCCAAAGTTTTAGGATAATTCTTTACAGATTATAAACGTAAAAAGCTTACTGTTTCGATCACAAGCTACATTAAAAAACTATCTTTTTGCGCAAAAGGCCTATTTTCTACCAAATTTCAAAATTTTAACATTTTTTGACGTTTGCTAATTAGTTTGAACTTGAAATACAGCAAACTTTTACGAAAAAAAGCTAAATATCGCACTCGATCAAGCCCGTGATAAAGCTGCCCAGCTCGGTCGGCTTCTTTTTCGTGTCCAGGAGCGCCAGTCGGCCATCCCTCAGCCAGACGATACGGTAGCCGCCCCAGGCTTTGATGCAAACGCCTAAATTAAAAGATTTTTGAATATATTGAAATTCTACCAGTAACCGGGACATCTGATGCCGGATACCGTCGCTTAGGAGCCTGCGTAAACGATTGATCAAGGTGACCGGAATTTTGGCCTAAAAATAACTTTAAGACTATAAAATTTCGAATTACCACTAAGCGACTCGTCCAGCGCAGGCGATTGCCGCTTCGCGGTGCTGTATTTCTCCCACTGGGGGCGAACTGAAATCACTTTTGATTTTTAAGCTTTTTAAAATAGTAGAATCACTAGTTTTTATCGTGCAAAATAATTATCTAAAGAAAATTTGCAAATAATGAAGGATAAATTTTTAATAGCAAAAAAAATAAGATACCACGCTGCGTAGAAGGGCCCGGTTGATATGAGCGGAAGGAGTCATCAAATTGCACTAAAAACCATTCAGATACCTGAAAAATAGAAACCTTGCTGCGGAGAGTAATTGTGCTGTTCGCGATAACCAACACGAGAATGCTGCCTCGGAACGTGCTCGGGCTCACGATAGTTTGGATCTGAAAGAATGGTTCTAAATTATAAGCAAAAATTCACCTCGTTCGGGAGGCGGTGTCCTGACGAGCACCGGACCTAAATCCAAAATTTCTAAAAAAGAAAGTTTTCGATACCATTTCCAAATTCGTCGTCGAAACTGTTCCTTGATGTTGGGCGATAATCGCGCGGCTCGTAATCTAGAAGCGGTAAATAAAAAAAAAATCAAAATAATTAAATGTGTTGCGTCGAACAAAAAATTCACATGACTGATTAGCCGGAAGCCGTTCGACTTGTCGATGGTTGCGAGACAGAGGCCGCGGCTCGGGCTTAAAAACGCTTATCAATTTTGAAAAAATATTTGCCGGCGCACCTGTCTCACGATGACACGGCGGTCGAGCAGCTTGCGGACCAGCCAGCCGCTGTTGCCCAGGGGTCGTTTAGGCAAAGTTACATGGCTAACGCCAAGCACAAAGTCCATATCCCGCAACTCCTGTGTCATCGTATCCTAAAAAAAGATAAATCGACGCAAATTTCTCCGACCTTTGGCAAATGAGAGATCGTTTCTCCGTCAAAATCGTAGATGACAGGCATGTATTCGTTTGCGAAAGTCGGCACATCACGCCCGTCCCAGTCGACGAATTTGACGAACCTCGCCGGGGCTTCAATCTGAATACAAGTGAAAATTTGAATTCACCAGCGAAAACGAACCAGCGACACCGGCCGGCCTTGGTTGGGCAGACGGGAGAAGTCGAGCGGCCACTCCACTTTTTTCAAGCCAAGAATTTTCCGTCGTACCGAGTTCTGGAAGGGCTCGGGAGGACTAAAGAAAAATGAGCTAAAGAGCCGAATGCCCTACCCGACTTCACAAAAGACAAAGTCGTCGGCCGTCAGAGGCTCTGGATTCATCTTCTTGCTGGTCGCACTAAAAGAATGTATCCGTCCAGAAATGCCCAACGTATAAGCAAGCGTTTTAGTAAGGTTTTTGGCTTGAAGCTTAAAGGGCTGCCGACGGCATGTGTCGATCCCCCCTCATTAACAAATTGGCAGGTAGCCAACAGGGGAGAGAGGGCGCCCAGGGGAGAGGGGCAGAGACATTTTCTTTTCCTCGCGTAACCGATTGACTATGCCGTCGGCATCCCTTTAAATCTAACGACATTGCAAGTGCAAAAACTATCTCAAAAAGCAATATTTCTTAATTTTAAATTTAGCGGATCTTTGTCGAATTTCTTTATGTAATTTTTAATAAAAAGTTGCAACGGCTTCACGCGTGAGAATCGTAAGAAAACGGGTAAGAAACACCTCCGTTTACATCAGAAAATTGAATTCTAAGCGGACAATAATTGATGCCCGGATATTGAGAAAACACCAAAACGCCGTACTTCCAAACGCCGACAACGCCATCCTGGAACGCAATGAAAATCCACTCCTTGGTCGAGTTGATCACGAAGCCATACAGGTATTCCATCGGAGAGCCCGACAGGCTGACTTCTCGTTTCTGAAAAAAACGCATCAAAATCTTTCTCCAGCTGTCTCTAATACCTTACGCTCAGCACGTGACCTTCGCCTTCTCGAGGACAGCTCGATGAACGCCCGCACCTAAAAAAGCGTCTTAGGCCCGGATCGGAAAATTCTGCCTTCCAGCCGCTTTCTCCCTTCGGGCTCTCCGCCTCGATCACGACTTGGTCGCCGGGCTTAACCTGCTTCTAAAAAGCACAAAATATATAAATAGCGGGTTGGAACCTTGATCAATCCGCGATCGTGAAGCTGGCCAAGGACCGGGTGCTCAAGGAGTGCGCCATCGACATTCACTTCCAACACCTCAGCAATCGCTTTGTACTAAAAAAGGATAAAAATTTATTGCCAGCCATACCGTCGCAAATTTATCGCTGTAATTTCTGTACAACGCGAGGTCGTCAGAGAGCGGCGAGACTTCATATTCAGCAACTTCGCCAGCCGCCTCTTGGCCCATCTCGTTGGTGCTAAAAAATTCAAGGCTTCTCACATCGGCACTTACAACACACGGCAACGAATCAGCAGATCAAAATCGGGCGCCAGCCGGCCATGGCGAATCGCGTTCGCCGTCAAGATGAAGTTGCCGTGCTTTGTGGCGACGAACATCGTGTGGTTGGTGCGGTGGGTCGTGACGCCTTCGATCCAACCACGATCCTGGCGGCCGGTTTGATTCCATGGCTAAATAGGTCTTTACAAAACTGATGACTAGCGAACCGCAAACTCGAGTTGCCCCTTCAGCATCCGCTCAATTCGGCCATCACGGGCGTAGCTGAGCTTCTGACCCTCGAGCACAATAAACTTCTCCAATTCAGGGTTCCTTAAAAAACCAAAATAAATTTTCTGAATGCCAATACCAGCGTAGGCAAGCCTCAAGTCCATGATTTGGCCGGAACGATGGACCCGCCCTCACCCTATCAAGCATGTGCTGCGAGATGGGCGCACGGCCAACGACGGTAGACCAAACTGACGGCTGATCCCAACCAATCGCCTGCTCTTGCTGCAGGTCAGGTATGATGATTGGAGTCTTCATCTAAAACGCTTTAGGACGCAACATCATAGACTTACGTCAATTATTCCGTTATTCATTTGAAGCGGCCACGAGCCACCACCGCCGCCCTTCTGAACCTCATATCTGGTGACGACACCCTTCCTAAACCACATTTTTATTTTGTTTTTAGGGTACGGCCGGCTTTTAAAAATATATTTTCAATCTCAATAGCTGTACTTTGACAAAGAGGATCGGACCCTTTTCGATCAACGAAAAACTCACTCTGAAGAAAAATCAACCCATTTCCCGAGTGCTTGGCGTGCATCCTCGCGACATCCATCGGCCAACGGGTAGAGGCCACCGCTTTTCGTCCAAATCAGCGGTTCGCCATTTTGGCTGGGCAGCAGCAGTCCAGCCACCATTGTTGCGGCGGGGCTTCGCGACTATAATTAAAACTTTAGGAATCATTAGCCTAAACAAATCAATGAATTTGCCAAAATTCGAAATTCGCGCTGAAAGCCTGTTGACAAATTGCGAACAGCTGCATTTCGCTTACGGGAGATAATTTTCGGGCGGCTGGCGCTAGTGGGAAAACATAAAGCGGCAAACCCAACTCAAAAAAACAGACGGCGCTCCTGCCCAATTATTTCGACACCCGATAAAAAGGTTACTTCGGCCAGGTACAGCAGTTCAGCAACTCCAAATGTGTAACGCTTTCGATTTTCTCAGAAAATATATTTATCCACTCCAAAAAAAGAACACCTGGGAAATCGTTGGGACAAAAAAGTACACGTAGAAACACAAATTAACCCAAGTAAGATAAAAAATACCCATTTCTAGTAGTCTTATTTCGGAGCAAAAACTTGATTCACAGATATAAAACACGGGGGTACAAAAAAATGATACTCGTAGGTGTCCGTTTCTTGATTCGTTGATGAGGGTGTAGCCGTGTAGCCCTTCTCACGACGCCGAATCTAAAATACAACTTTATTCACATGAAAACAAGTGTACCAGTCGTAGTTGAGTCCATGGCGGCCGTCACGATCCACTCGATATTCTTCTCGCCGGCCGCTACAGCTTTGATAGAAACGGAGATTTCTTCGTCGGGCGCGGGCTCCTGAAAAATCACGTAAAAAAGGCAAAAATCAATCAAATTACCGATAAAACATCACTCTTGTCGATAATCTCCCCGAAAAAGTCGTCCACCAAGACGGCGACACGTTGCGTGCTAGGGGGGAAGGCTCGATACTCCTTGCAGCGCGCGTAGGGGCAGAGAAACTGAAAACAAAGCTTGAGACTGGGCAGAGATGAACGTAAATCATTCGATTTCGTCTTGTAAATCTCTTTAAAAAAACTTGCCTGGCCCGGCTCTGAGAGCACTTTGACACAAGGCGGCTTCTCGAGGTGCTGGAAGCCCTCGACTTCCCATTCGTACGATTCGCGCTTCCCCAAGACGGGCGCCGGGAATTGCCTGAACAAAAATAAGTCGAGTTTTATTGTAGATCTACGATGTGACCAAGCTTATTTGATAGAGCTGGAAATTCTGAACAAGCCCCAGCTTTTAAAAAACTACTGCACGATAAATGTCTTCGAGAAAAAGTGTTCCAAAGTCCACAAATGTTCAAAAACCACTTTTCTAGAGAATTTTCTTCAAAACTGCTATCTTTCAGCAGCTTTCCAGAGCCGGTGTTTGTTCGGGAACTTCACGCCCTATTGAATCAACAGCGTCACTGGCAAAACTTCAAAAACGCCTTCAAACCCTACCGAACACCGGCTAGCAGGAACGCGCCGACCGGAAGTTGGCCCGCATCCAGGAGCGCCAGCCGACCGTCACGCAGCCACACAATTGTCCACTTGCCCCAGCGCCGAATGCACACCCCTAAAAACATCTTCTCAATCAGAGCCCGATAAAAATCACCTTTAACGCCATTTTGATGTGCGGCTTCTGTGGAAGATGTCCGGTTTGTGGTGGCAGCATCTAAGAACAAGTTATCAAACCCTTTTTAAGCCAAATTACCAAGCCAAGATCCCGTGGTAGTGTTCGTGTCCGATGGCAATGACGGCGCGGGGTATTCCCCGACTAAAAAAAGCAATTAATGTTTGGGGCAAAAACTTACAATCAATCACATTGCGAGCAGAAGTACACCGATGCGACGCGTATACGGGCTCCGCGGGCGGCGTAACTGGCCGTGGTCGAAACTTAAGACAAAAATAAGCATAGTAAAAACTCAAAAACCTTTGCTGCAATTTTACGAGGCGGGCCCACAACGATGCGTCGGACGTTCCAGGCATACTTCGACTTGTCGGGAAGTTGTGCCCAGTCCACGGCCAGTCGGAATTCGAAAGACTTCATTTCCTGCTCATTCCGAAACTAAAATCCAATAAAATAAATAAAACGAAAAATCACATACACTATCTTTCCGCAACAGCCTGTTGACATCGTGTACTTCGGGCATGTAGTCGTTAGTGAAAATGGCGTAGAGGCCGTTGAAATTGAGGACATGGGCAGGCACTTCAAACTGGAAAAAGATAGTAAGTAAAAACACCATCAGACGATTACTTTTTATTTAGGACTTTTTTGTAAAAAGATGTAAACAGGGGAAGCGTTTCTCAACTGATTTTTGCTATCCAAAACGTTAAACTTTAAACTTTTTAACAAAAAGGACAAAAAGAGACCGGTTTTTTGACCAACATGCCAACTTTTTAGACCGTTTAATAAATATATAAACATGAATATTACCAAGGCCGTCGGCTGGTTCGCCTCGCGCCGCAGAGTCGTAAAATTCGGCGGCATCCATATGTACTCGACTGACAATACGTATCCGCGGTCAATGCCATTTCTAAAAATCAAATAAAGCAAACAACAAGGCCTTACTCGAGCAGCACCTCGACGAAATCGCCGACTTCGATAGAGGAGCCGTTGTTCCTAGTCCAGTTATTCCTAAAAACACAGTAACATTAATAACAAAACTGACGATATGACGCACTCCCGTCCATCGTCCAAGATGATCGTGGTGTATTCGGCTGTTCGTTCGACCACAAATCCGTACTGCTTCCCGATTGCGGTGTCGTCTTTCTAAAACGGAATAAAACTAAAGTCCATAACAAATTTACCGAGAGCTCAGACGGTTTCTCGGAAATCTCAACGTCGGACGGGGCGTCAGCGTGGAGGGCGGCCGGTTCTTTATTCGGCGGCATGAACTGAAACGGACACGTTTGTGTGCGTAGTGTACCCTAATACGCGCTCCCCCTAGAGTACAAACTATCACAAAACACCCGCAAAAAGCAGAACACAGAATATAACAAACTTTCTCAAAATCTAATTTTTCATAAGACCGGGGCAATTCTAAGTGCGCCTGGCGGGGTATTGAGCGAGAAAAAGCCAAATGACCTAAACCCCCGGAAGTGCAAAATAATTCGAGCGAAAATTTCTCAATTTTTCACAAAAGAATAATGACAACAGATTATCAGGAAACTACAATTTCGCTAAAAAACCAAAGGAGCTATTGATGTTTGGGGGGGGGGGCATCTTTTTTTGGGGGCTTTTTCTGGCCTAAGCTTGTCTCAAAGCCTAAGCTAACCAAGCCAAGCCCAGCCTAAGCCAAACCTAAGCCGAGCCTAGGCTTAAGCCCAAGTCTAAGCTAATCCTAAGCTAGCTCTAGGCTAAGTCTAAGCTAAGGCTAGGCGAAACCTAATGTAAGCCTACACTAAGCCTAAGCTAAGCCAAAACCAAGCCTAGGCCTAAGCTAAGCTTAAGCCCAAGCCTAGGCATAAGCTAAGTCTAAGCCAAGCGTACGCAAAGTTAAAGCTAAGCCTAAGCTTAGACCCAGGCCACCAAAAAAAAAAATGCCCCCCCCCAAACATCAATAGCCCCAAACCAAATTACGCCCAATTACCGCATCAAAACGTACTTTAGAGTTCAAAATTATCCGCCAAAATCTTCCATATATTTTCACCGGCCGAATTTTCGTTACACGAATATAATTTACATTTTCATCGGCATTTCCCATCTATTTAAACGATTTCCAACATTTTAATTGGTTACATGAGAGGAATTCGTCCGACGACCGCCTTTTTGGCTGATTTTCCTGGGTTTGAGAAGAGCGACAGAAAAATGCTGCAGTAAATCTACAAACTACAAAAAAGCTGGGCTATACTCGAGATACAGTACTACTGGGGGACTAGTAATTCGGAAGTGTTTACCATCATGTCGAAATCAACGTTGTTGAAGCAGAATCAAGAGTTGGAGACCCGGCTCGGCAAGCAGAGCGGGGCAACGTCAAAAATTCAGAATGGTCGGAAAGGGAAAAGCCGAAGACGTCACGCCCACTGATGAGGTACAAAGTAGCTTGTCGTACTAGTGAATCGCGCTAGTGAACACGTTGAAACTTGAAGCTAGATGAAAAACTAGGTAAGGGCGTGCAACCTACTGGTTTATGGGTTCGTTGAAACTATCGATAACGACGTATGTAAATTGCCGGAAAACAGAGAGAAAGCTAGATATATTTTCACTATTGTGAATTTTCAAAGAGAGTGCGATCAAGCCTCGAGATAATGTTTATATATTAAAAATTTGTGGCTTTTTTTGCCGAATGCAGGACTATTTGTTTTTTTTGAACGCCATTTGCGCAAAATTACTGATTATGTGCATTACCGAATTTTGATGAAGAATTTTAGGTCTTTCCATTTTTCAAGGTTTATAGTGATAAGCACTATAAAGGTTGGGAACTGGCGCGACGATACAAAACCCGATTTTTCCGGTCACCTCGTCCAGAAATTCTTCCATCGGCACGGCGCCGTAACATTGCAGCACCTGAAATCGTCGAGTGGTGATAAAATGTGTTAAAGTCTGTTAACGTAATACTACATATTTCAATGATCTTCTTTTTTTAGCTAGTTTCGCTTTAATAATGATTTATAAAACTTACGAAAATGGATTCGAATTTAAATTTTGTTCAAAAATTGGTGGTTTTGGCCGGAAAATGGGCATATGTTTGCATTTTTAACATTTTAAATTCTAGGGTTTTTACCCCTAGGATAGTATTCTTACCTTCAAAAACGGTTTGTTGGTGTCCAGATCCTTTGTCTGATGGAGTAACACCTGAACCAGGTCGCCAACTTGGACATCCTAAAAATTCGATGTTTTTTAAAAACCGAGTATACGTTAACAATTCCACATTCGGCAAAAGAATTTCCGAGAATCGGGTGGAAGAGCGTAGTGACGTCTGGCTCCAATTTTTCTACCTGGACGACGGCACGAAGCTGAAAATGTCGATCCGTTTTCAAGCCAATTTTTTTTCGCCAGTGCATCTAAAAATGGGTTCTTAATCTCTGTTACATTATCACTCAAAAAACAGGGACAATAGGACATGCGGCGCGGTGACATTTGGCGATGTGCCAGGAATAAACTCTGAGGGCGCAGACCAGACTCCTTTTCCACTTTAATTATCAAAACCTTTGGTTAAAGGGCTAGTTCATCCAGTAAAACAAAAGCATTTCCGCGGTCAGGAGTCGAACCCTCTCTGCGTTTTTGTGTCTGCGCCTCTCCATTTTCCCCAATTTCTAATAGCTGCCGTAATGGGGGACTGTTCGGGCGCACTGTGCCTACGTCCATAGTGTCCCAAGGTACCAGCCCAAGCTCTAAAAGTTGAACCAGCCCTTTAAAGCCTACCATAGCTTTTCTTCCGCTGTGGTACACATGTATAGTCTTCGTCGGCAACGGTAGCACTTCGTAGCAGATCACTCGACCCGTCTTATCCTCACCTTCCAGAAAGCTGCAATAAAATGGGTGCTTTCGCAATATCAGAGTCGCGGGGACCGGCGAAAAAGCCGAAAACTGGCCATTTTGGTATGAAAAACCAATTTTTCGGCCTAAAATTGAATGTCCAATCAAAACTTGTAAAGCTTTTATGCTCAGCAATAGTTGAAAACAACGCACCAACTTGCCATAACAAATTTTTTTTATTACTGCTGCTTTTTACCAATTTTTTCCTGGCTGTCCCGGTTGACCTAGTAATCCAATATAAGTGTCTTCACGTTGTTTTTAGTAAATTTTAACTATATTTAAAGTAGAAAAACCTTCAAAAAAGGTTAGAAAAATGTTTGTAAAAGTCAAAAGCGTCTTCATTTTGGGTCTTTTTTTCGGATTTTTCAAACTAAAACTAATTTTTTAATTGAAATTTGTCTAGTTTTAATGCCTAGGGATAGTTAAAACCATTTAGAAGCGCATCCGCTATTTCGAAAAAAATTTAGGCATATGCCGAAAAAAATTTGGTTCCCCCGGAAGTCCTAAAGAAACAAATTCGGTGCCCCCCCGCTAATGCAAAAGCACCTAAAAATCGCACTTTCTTTCCGCCTCTTACCTAATCCTGCATTTCACATAACATCCCAAATACGGAACAGTCCGGCCGATTCGCTCGCAGGCCACCGTGATGATGCCGTTGCCATATTTTGTACAGATGAACATGCTCGCGTCGGTCCTCGCAATCACTATCCCTTCCGTGTCGTGCGGCTCGCCCCAGGCCGGCAGCCAGGGCTGCAATTCAGTCAAAAAGAGGCAGCTTTCCCTTACCAGCCAATTCAACATGTCTCTATTCCAGTCTTGGCATGGTTCTTCGAATTCTTGAGGCTCATCCACCGCCCAGGATTCGGTATCCGGTTGCCTAAAATGTAAATTAAGATTTTACTACGATAATAAATATGAAAGTGAAACAATTAAAATAGTGTTTGATAGATTATTCGGATTTTGCTTGTTTTTCATAACTATTTTCTTTTTTTTGTACATTGTTTTCACCCGAAATTAAGACTGAGCATATTTTTGACGCTCTCTTGAACCGCGCTAAATGAATTTGGCTAAAATATCGAAAATTCCCAGTATATTTTTAATGCCCTAACGGGTGGCACATTTAAAATGGCGAAAACCTAGGAAAATACCGGAAAATTAGCTATATAAGCCATTTTTTTAGGAATATTTTTGTTGACGCTATAACCTTTTTGATATTCCAATATTTTGCGCTGGGATTCACAGTTTTAGAGGTTTTTGCGAAGCCGTATAGATTGGCGTGGAGAAAAGCCCGAGAAAATGGCAAAAAACTGGCTATTTTGCGTTGAGGGATGAGTTGGAGTAAAGTAAGCCATTTGAACGACTTTCCAGATATGGTGCCGAGGAAAACCCACCACTTTACCCATCCATGAAACATCATCGCCGGCTCCGGCTCGTAGTCTGGGCTTTCCCAAATGGCCACGAGCATCTCCTCGCTGATCGGCACGCGTCCCAAGAATCCCGTATGTATCGATGGGCTGGTCCAGCCAATTTTGGCCATTTGGCGTGGAGAAGGAATGACCACTTGTGAATACACCTAATTGGGTAAGAGTTGAATTAGCCATTTTTCTTTTAGTTTTTCTTACTGAACTATCAAAAACCAGATGGTTACAGTTAGCGTTGTTATCGGTACAAGTAGGATAAGCGGGGGGGGATTTTAGGCGGGGGAAACCGACTTTTTCTGGTCGGCCCTGGTGGGGATAGTAATCAAATATAAAGTGTTTTCACATTGTTTTTAGCAAAATTTAAGCCTATTTGAATCCGAAAATTTTTTTAAAAGGTTAGAAAAACGCTTGAAAAAGTGGAAAATTTGGTCATTTTTGGGCCGAAAAAAGTGATTTTTAGACCTAAAAGTAAATTTTTTAATTAAGTTTTGTAAAGTTTTTATGTTTAGGAATAGTTATAAACAATTTAGAAACACTTCCATTATTTATATAAAAAAAATAGGCTTGAGCGGAAAAAAAGTTGGTTTCCCCCCGCCTAAAATCCCCCCCCCCCGCTTATCCTACTTGTACCTTGTTATCGACCCGGGTCGAAACTCGGTCGGGTCGAAAAGGCTCCCGCAGCGAAAACTTTTGTAAAATTCATAACTTTTTTCTAAAGTCGAATTCCGCTATTTCGTCTTCAGTTTTGATTCTGTGAGATCATTTCCTACATTTTGAGTTGTTAAGCTATAAGTTTTTGTGCTAGAATCACAGAGAACGGAAAATTTTTCAGGTTCTGCGTGCGGCGGTCCACTCCCCCCATCCTTTTTGCCCGTTCTCTGTGATTCTAGCACAAAAACTTGTAGTTTAACAACTCAAAATGTAGGAAATGATCTCACAGAATCAAAACTGAAGACGAAATAGCGGAATTCGACTTTAGAAAAAAGTTATGAATTTGCAAAAGTTTTCGCTGCGGGAGCCTTTTCGAGCCGGGTCGATAACAACCCTGGTTACAGTCGCTTCGCGACTGTAACCATCTGGCCTTCGAGCTACCCTTCATGTAATACACCATCACATCCATCCCTACCTCCATCAATACCCACCTAATGGACAGATATCTCCCCTAGACGAAATCCCCTTAAAAAACTACCTAAATACCTTCCTGGTGGCTTCAAATACCCCTTATAGCCGAAATCCCCTTAAAAAACTATTTCGATACCTCCCTGATTGCTTTAGATACCTCCCCTAGCCGAAATCCCCTTCAAAAACTAAAATAACGACCGACCGGATGAAATGAGAGGAAAAGGAAATGAAATGGTTCCCGTGAAAATTTTCATCCACGAAACGCGCGCCACCTGGCTCACTATGTCCAAAATCACTCCAACCTCCGTCCCCCACTTCTTTTACTAAGGAAAAACTTTCAGAGTTAATTCTAATAATTTAAGCTAAAACTTTTTTGATAATTTTTTTATCAGTTTGGGGGTTTCTGACCACGCTCTATCCGAATCCGAAGAGAGCTAAGCTCTAGCTCTTTTCCCCATCGAATTGAATTCGGCTTCGGACGGACACCCAGACGGACGCGTCAAGAAAATTATTATAGTTGATGATATGGAAAAGAATGTAACGACAATTGGCTGATAAGAGCACAGTAACTTCCAACGAATTTGACTTTGGCCTTAAAAGGCTCTTTCTTCGCAATTTTCTCACCAATAGCTCTTCCTCACGGTGTTGTAAATATAGGCTACCACAAATATCATCGACGTCCGGCGTCATGCCACACGCAATTCCGTGCCTACAAAAAATTCCAATTTTCGGGTAATAACCACAAAATTCTACCGGTTCAACTCGATCCACACGTAGTTGTTGAGGTATTTCGGAGACTCGTTTTGGCAATGTTTCGTCATGGGAAGCAGGCCGATGCTTCGTGTCCATAGCACCGGTTTTCCATGTTTTCCGGTCAGCACTAGTGCCGGGATCGTCGACATTTTGAAAACTATAAATCAAAAATTTTTAGGTTTTGGTTCGTTAGCGGGGGAAGGGGGGAACTTATCGAGGGCAGGGAGTTTAGTGTCGGAGATTTTTCATGTATTTCATTATTTTTGGGGACCACATCAGCACATAGAGCATCAAAACCATTCTAAGAATTGAATTTTATATAATTTTAGATACAAACAATAATTTAAGAAATAAAAAAGTTATAACAAAAGCGAATATAACCCTAAAAACGGGGTTGTAAACTATTTTTCGGGATTTTCGAAGTTTTTCGACCATCTGTTAACGCTCTCCGATAGAACATCTAAAATAATACTTTTCGTCTTATATATGTAATTAATTATAAAATAATAATTACAAAATAATGTAATTTAAGATTAGAAAAACTATTGACAAAAGATGTTTTTCGCCCGATAACTCCCCCCGCTAACGAACCAGAACCATTTTCTATGATTTAGAAAATAGCTTAAGTTTATTTGGGTGCCAATTACGTTGTCAAATAAAAAATTTAAGATGATATCTTGGTCCAAAATTTAAGAGTTTAATTGATTTGCCGGGATAAAGGTTAAAATAAGCTTTAATAACTTTAATAACTTTAAGAACTCAACCTATTGGAAATGAAGTTTTCCCTTTTAGAATGAAATTCGTATCCGCTTACGCCATCAAAATCGGATTAGTAAGGCAAATAAAATAGAAATAAAAAAATATGGTTAGTCCTGAAAATTTCGGAAAATAAATCCCGAAAGGAAAAACGGTAGCCGTTGATTAAATCAAGTTTTTTTTTGCCGGCGCCCATATCAAGCCGAAAAGGTTCTTATCGCAATTTCATGGTGTCAGCCAAAATGCCGGTTAGGCTGCAGGCTAGGAGGGGAGGCGGAAAACAGCTAGGGAGCAAAAAAAGGAGAGGGGAGTAAGAGTAAACAAGGAGGAAGAGCCCCCACTGACCTTGGCGCAGCTGGCAGCGGGAAGAACCGCAGAAAAAAATATGGGAAAAGCTGCCGAAAAAGGGGGGTTTACACGGGCTTACGGTTGATAGTATCTTATAGATAATTTTACCCAGGGATGGCAAAATCGGCCGGCCGGGCCGATCGGCCGAGCCGAAAGCCGACTAATTCGGCCACTTCCGGGCCGATTTCTCTATGCTAATTTTTTCGGCCGAGCCGCTCGGCCCGGCCGAATTTTTGGGAAATCGGCCGAGCCGATTCGGCTTGGCCGACATTATGTAAATTGTATGTAAATTGATGTAAATGAGAAAAACCATAATGGATGGGGGCTAGACATGTATTGTCGCGTGCGAGGCACCAGAATAAAATGCCGACAACTGAGGCGCGAGCCTGGGTAAAAATATCGATTCTAAAATCACGAATTGATAATTGACGATTCGCCGCTTCGAAATTCAGAATGCCGATCAGGTCCGGTAGGCATTCTATTTTCTTAAGCAACGATAAAAAATAAATTGGGAAAATAAATTCGAAATTTTTTTTGAGAAATTTTTGCTCAGTAAGTAACATGTCGGCTTTCGGCTCGGCCGATCGGCCGGGCCGACTGAAGGCCGAAAATCGGCCCTGGAACGGCCGATTCCGGAAGTGATCGGCCGAGCCGAATTCTAATAGGCCGATATTCAAATCCAGGCCGAAAAAGCCGATCGGCCCGGCCGATTGCCATGCCTGATTTTACCGAAAGCATTTTGTCGAAAATCATTTTGTCGAGATTTCAGTTTATCGACATATAGTTTTTCGTAATTTAAATTTGTCGAGCCTTCAATGCGTTTTTCTGGCTCGATTATTCATCTCAAATTTCGCAAAACGAAATTTCACCACATTGAAATTTCAACAAAATGAAATTTCGACAAAATGATATTTCGGAAAAATGAAATTTCGCCAAAATTATATTTACGTAAAATGATATTACGACAAAATGTACAGTGACCAACTGATAGCTAATACATTTTTATAACATGGAAAATAGTAGGCCCAGATATAAAATAAAAACTGCCCGTTTAAAAGGTAACATTTTCAGAAGTTCCGCGACGCTCCACCTGCCGGTTCATTGGGCTTCGGCGACCCTCAACACTTGTCACCACTTCAGGGCTGTAAATCGGCGTGCGCTAACAAGCTCCTTCTCTCTGTAGCGCTCTCTCTCTCTCTCTCTCCCTCTCTCTCTCTCTCTCTCTGTCTCGCTCTACCCACCCCAGATTGTAAAATGTGTAAATGACCGTATGGTCATTATCCCTTTATCGGCATCGGGAGATCAGAGGGGTGAAGACTTGGCCAGATCACGGTGGTTATACTTTTACAACTATCTAGCGCACTCGGGGTCAAATGGTGCCGGGGGCAAGCTTACTGTAAAAAAGCAAGAGAGCGAGCTAGCAGAGATTCTTTGGGAAAATGTGAAAATCATAGCAGACGAAATACCGACAAGCAGAATAGTTTCTTAAATGGCAGTGGTATTCAACGAGCGTCAAGAATATATCGGGAAGGTCGCAGCATGAATTATGGCTGTCGGGATTTTCGAATACCGGGATTTAAGCCTGTCGGGATTTTAGCCTGTCGAGATTTTGGTTGTCGGGATTTTGGCATGTCGGGATTTTGGCTTGTCGGCATTTTCGTTGTCGGATGTTGGCCGTCTGGTTTTAGGGCTGGCGGGAGTTTCGCCTGTCGGGATTATGGCTGACTGTATTTCGGCCGTCGGTATTATGGCTGTCGGGGATTCGGATTGTCGATATTTTGACTTTCGGGACCTTGGACTGTCGATATTTTGGGCGTCAGGGCCGGTGCTAGCGGCATTCTCCTGCTTGCCGAGTTTTCAATCTTTGAGGCGTTTTTCAAGCAATCGGTTGTTTAATTTTAACTTTTCCAGTCCCTTTAATAAATTACCATGCACTCCCCTCACCATCTAGAGCCATTAGATTTTTGAAGTATTACCGGGGAGCGGTGCAAATGGCCTGTGACCCGAGAGGCGGGTGGGCAATGGCGCAACACCCATCAGAACGGCACCGCCAAAGGAACCAAACACCCGGCTCAAACACGGGAATCCTATAGTCGCCTGGAGGGGAAAGGGGTGCAACGGTATGCATTACAGGGTATAGATTTCATTTTTCTGCATCCGAATCCAGTTTTAAAGGTGCTGTGAAGTTATACCAAGAAGAAGAAGAAGACTGGAAAATGCCACAGAAGACCATTAGAAAGTCGCCTTCGGGGTACTAACGCGTTAACATTTTTCCGTATATTTCCCTTTAGAATTGATATATCAAAAATGGATTAATTACAGCCCTTTCCCTCCAATACTTTTAAAGGGGTATGGAAGGCACCTACATTCTCCGGGTTTTCAGCGGTAATTCTCTCTTGTTTCCCATTTTTCGATCGTTATCTCCCTCGCCCTAGCTCGCTCTCTCTCACTCTCGCTCTCTCTGTCTCTATCTCTCTCACTCTCTCTCTCGCCATCTTCCTCAGCTTGTCTGACGGCTTGTCTCTTCTAAACGGATTTATTTTTATTTTCAGTAATTAATAAGACGGAAATTGGACCGGATAATCGAAATTCTAACTGCTCGGTGCTTCAAATAGGGGTATAGAATTGTTTTTAGTCGTATTGATTTTTGGCGATTTATAGGCTTAACATCGCCACTTCGCAGTGGCGGTCGCTTTTCTCAGTTTAGAATGGCGGCTATTTGAAACTTAAAAACAGGCATAGCTTTGTGGGATATAGATAATCGCGTAATAGATTGAAGGTCTGACATAAGTAGAGGGCCTGTTCTAAATAAGCCTTTCCGGTGCCTGAAAACAAGGAAAACGGGATGGCAAACTCCAGCTACTAAAATCGGTAGGTAGCTCTCCAAAAATTTGGCAAAATGGGTCAAAATGACCTGCTAACAACTCAAATTTTCTTAAAAAATATACCCCGATTCCCCGCCAACATTCCATATTTGGGCAAACGATTCGAACGGCGGAGCGGAGCGTCTCGTACTCGCCTCCATTCCTCTATTGCGCCACCCTCCGATCGGCATTCGGCAAAGGGGCGGGGTCCCCATTTCCACATTATCGGCCGTGTTGCGCCACCCTGCCCCCGGCCATCCTTTCGGGGACACGGCCCGAAGCGAATACCGTATCCCCTTGCCCCGTCTTTCCCACTTTTTATCCCCACCGCCACCGGCAAACCGATTTCCGGAGAGTGGGGAGGGTATTGTTGCCGATTTCCTGGGAAACTGAGACGATGTCTTGCCATTTTGGATCCTCCAAAAATCCGTCAATTCTGAACTTGATTTTTTACTGTTCTGTTTGTTGTTCGGTCTAATTTTTGCTTTGTTTTCTATTATTCTGTGTTTTCTCTTCTGTCCGCTAATTCGGATACACTGGTGCGAGTGGTTTCCGGATACGGTATTGTTGCCAATTTCCTGATTGAGATATTCCTTGGTGCCCTCATAAACTCACAAACTCTCCGTCCAACTTTTGCATCACCTTTTATTCTTCTGGAATCGTAGAATACCTTTACGACGCGCCATTTTTTAAAATTTTCGTTGGGTATATTTGCAAAAATATCTGTTCATTTTTATGCGCCTCTGTACCAAAAATTCTTTTGCCTCTCTCTCTCTCTCTCTCTCTCTCTTTACCACTCTCTCTCTCTGTCACTCACTCACTCACTCTCGCTAGCTCTCTCTCTCCCTCACTAACTCCCCGCTCACTCTCTTGAGAAACCTTTTTCAGAGCGGGATTTTGAACTTTGTCCGCAAATTGCATTCCCACAGATTTTGGCTTTTTTCTCCCTTCATTGAACCTTTAAAGGGATCGGTAAAGAAAGCATCCATAGAATTGTCACTATTTCTGTGGCTTACCTAGCTTTCTCGATCTGCATATCTCAATCGCGCTTTTCGCTCTCTCTCTCTCTCTCTCTCTCTCTCTCTCTCTCTCTTCTCTTTCTCTCTCTTTCTCTCCCTCTCTCTCCGTCCCTCTCTCGCGATGTCTCATTATTAGTTTTCGTTTCCAGATCTGGTCGCCAACGCATCTTTAATTTCGCCAGAATGATGTGGCCGGAGCAGATCGGATCGACTTTTTGCGCCCCGGCGACGGCGCATCACTTAAAGGTATCTAATTGACGTGGAGTATCGCAAATTTTGCCTTATAATACCTTCTTTATGAAAATCCCGAATTCTAGGCGATGAACGCGATGTGGGGCCTCGAAAATCACCCGGGATATGCGGCGATGAAGGCGGAACCGGTGAGTTTTTGATGCTTGTTTTTGGCATAATTACGCTCGAGACGATACGAAACGATATGTTCAACTTGTATACTTACGTAATATTACGAAAGTACCTATCACACTAATTTCAGTCCGGCATGCACCCGTTTACGCATTTTGCGCAACAGCTGACCGCCGCTCAGACCGGGTTTCAACAATGCCCATCCCTGCCGGACACCTCTCCAACTTCCGGCTCCAAGCGGAAAAAGGCGACCCCGATTCCGGAGGAGAGCAAGGACGAGGTACGTGATATTTAAATTAAGCGGTAGCACAAGAATGATTAGTTGATAACGCTATGGACATATTCGAAAAAACTGGGAAACAAGTAGAAACCGATCATAGGTATTTCTGTCTCCTTTTTCCATCCGATTACGCTACGAAAAGGCTACTCAAAAAAAGCTTACGCTGTAATTTGGTAATTTGTAATTTTGTGATTATGCCATTTGTGCTAAAAGGCCTTGATACTATTTTAGTATTACACAGTTACTTTAATGCAGGCTTTTGCACGCCCTTTTCCTATTATTTTAAGCACAGAAATTAACGGATGAAGCTGCACTCAAGGATTTTCAAAGCTTCGCGATTTTGTGGACCGGATTTTGTTGCGTTTGCGCATCAGGCTATGCGTCATTTCTTTTACTCTGTCTAGATGACCTCGAACCAATCTTGTCAAATCGCATTTTCAGCTAACGCGATCGCACGCAAAACGTTCCGGGTCTAGCAAAACTCTGCTTTGTTGCTAAAAATACCTTTACATTATTATTTTTGGATAAAAGAATAAAACCCTATTTTGAGGCATATCGGGAGCGCCGGAAGCGGAACAACGACAGCGCTAAGAGATCGCGGGAACAGCGTAGATTTGCGGAAGAAATGAACAAAAAGAGGTACGGGTCCAACTGGCACTCTCTCTCTCCCTTTCTCTCACTCTCTTACTCACTTGCTGCCTCTCTGTCTCTCTCTCTCTCTCTCTCTCGCTCTCGCTCTCTCTCTCTCTCTCTGTTTCTTTCCCTCGTTCGCACCCTCTCGCTTTCTCGATAGTTAGATAAATCTATTAAACCTATTTTTTTAGATTGGAAGGCCTAATGTACGAGAATCAACACCTCCGAATGCAAGTCTGCCAACTCCAATCCGAGCTCCAGGAGCTGCGAACAACCCTCATGAGTATGCAAGCCATGCAAAATCAACAGATGCAACAGTGTGCTCCTTGAATTTATTTTTGACGCCTTTAAAGGAGCTGGGACAGTCACATAATTCTTTAACTTCCTATAATCACCTACCAGTCCATTCAACTTGATGCTGCATCGTGCTTTAATATAGATCACTGCCGACACCTTGCTAATCCTATTTACATGACCTATCCTAATTCCTTCCTTTTTGCCGTTTCCGGTTTTTCAGCTTTTATGATCAATGGGTTTTTTGGGTTCGCAGGGACCAGCAGGCGCGAGAATCGACCCCTTGCGTCCACCAGGTATCGGCAGCTACGAAAGCCTCAAAAAGAAATTAGGTGCTAATGCACTTGGGGGGTGGGGGACAGTCCGAATTTTGACTACAAGATGCTCCAAATGCCGTTTTTTAAACTCGAAGCCTCCGGAAAAGCTAAGCTAAACCTAAGCCTAGGCTTAGCTTCATAAAAACGAAGCCTGGGCTTAGCTCGAGCCAAGCTAAGCTTAGCTCTAAGCTACCCCGTAAATGACCACATTTTGACCTCGTAAGGCAATTTGAAGCTCAAGATAAACTTCGCTTGGGCTTAGGCTTAGGCCTAAGCCTGAGCTAGGCATAGTTAAAGCTAAGTCAAGCCTAGGCTTAAGCTGAAACCAAGTAGCTCAAGCAGAGCGCCTCGTAACCCCTTACGACCAATTTTGGACCGCCCCCCTTAACTGCATTAGCACCAGAAATTTATTGTGGTAAATTTGAAAACGGTGCGCCATGAAAAATGGGTACGCGCTGCTGCGATTAGTGTGCCGATTAGCCGTCCAGACTTTAGCAATGAAAGGGTCGATTTTAGCACTTCCCGGTCCCAGTAAAAAGCGGATTTTCGCCACTGTCATGAGACCTCTGTGCCCTGTAAAGGAGAGGTCCTTTAAACCGTTCTGCTGCGTTTCCAAGACTCCCCTATTCCCACCAAACTACGTGGTATTCTCGTCACTTGTACATCTCCGTTGCCGAAGTTTTAATGTAAAAGCCGAAGCCTAAGCGCATGTCTAAGCTAAGCGCAAACCTATGCCTAGGCCTAAGCCATAGCCTAAATGTTTTGTATCTTTGAAAATGTTGCACTAAGTGCTGTAATGCGATTAATACCGTATTTTTGGATATTTTCTCACTTGTCATTTTGAGCTTTTTCTCGCCAGAATAAACGTGTCCACCCGATGCGACTAGTAAATGCAGAATTTTATTGTTTTTGGGCCACAGTAATGAGTGGGCGAACGCCTGAACATTTGCTTTGTGATAAGCTGGAAAAACGGGCAGCTGGATGCTAATAACAAGTCTAGAGCATTGTCTTTTACTTCCTCTCTGTACAGGGTGTCCCAAAAAAAAAGCACCCCCCTCTAGCGGCGCGCAGTCGTGTCCGATTTTTATCGTTTAGGTATCTATCGAAAGCTCTTGAAAAGGTGAGAAAACAAGGAGGGTTCATTTTCTTTATTATCTATTTTTATTAGCAAATTTTACGTCCAAAAACCATGAAAACGGCAGACTTACGCGAGATCTGCATGCTAATCGCGAAATTCCTATTGAAAATCTGCCTGTTTTTTAGAATAACGTTGAATATCCAGCGTATAAAAATAAATCTGATAAAATAAATCACGCTTGTTTTCTCGCCTTTCCGAGAGCTTTCGAATGGTATAAAAATTATCCCGATCTAGGCTTCCCCCGGACCGCTAGAGGGGGGTGCTTTTTTTTTGGGACACCCAGTAGATATTGCTTTTTGTGACTAGAGAAGCTACGCAGGAGCCAAAATTTCGCTGTTTTTTACTACAATGAGTTTTCGGAAGAGAACTTATAGGCTGTAAGTTCATCATAAGGAGGGTTTATTAAAGACCGTTATCGTATTTACAATTTTTTGGAATAAAACTACCATAAAACATTGTTTTCAGAGGTTTATGTCTTCTTCAAGCCTCTAAATTATAGTACGACCAAAATCGCGGAATTTTATGGGTTAGCGCCACCAAGGGACGCTGTTTACAAACAATGAAAACCTAATGAACCAAAGAAACTACAGAATTTCAGCACTAATCCCATAAAGTCAAAATCCCGACAAGCAAAGCCCCCGACAACTGAATTCTCGATACGCCGAATTCCCGACACGCAAAATACCGACAGCCAAGATGCCGACATTCCAAAATAGGGCTCCGAGTCGGTGGTACCTTGGATTTCCGACGTTCTTGCTGTCGGGATTATCGCTGTCGGGATTATCGCTGTCGGGATTATCGCTCTCGGGATTATCGCTCTCGGGATTTTGACCGTCGGTTTTTTGGTACTCGAAGTTATGGCTGTCAGGATTTAAATACTTGAGGTCATGTTGTCGGGATTTTTGCTCTCGGGATGTTGGCCTTCGATGCTCTGTTTGTCGAGATTTGAGCCGTCGGGATTTTGGCTATTCCTGATACTGAAATTTGAAACGCGGTGCCAAGCGCATTACATGGGGTGAACCGAGCATCTGCTCATTCGACTTCTTAGCCCCTTTAAAATACATAGTCAATTATCGAGCCTTAAAAAATTCAGATTCCCGTTTTCTAAAAAACCCCGGAAATCAAGCTTATTTTGCTTGATGAACGAATTCTGTTGTCCCCGTCACCAGCCGTTCGTTTTTTATTTTGGCTGCAAACCATCTGGTTCATGGCTCCTTGTTTTTTTTTCTGGAGACGAGCAACGCTTGCAACATCAAGACCATTTCTTAACTCCATCAAAATTCCTCTTTTATGCTGCTATGGTAGGAATTAATTTTAAGCTACGAATTTCGGGTGGGCTTAAAAACCCTGCTCCTGAAGAAGCTAATTCAACCGAACCCGATAATTGGTAAAATTTTTTTAAAAATTCGGAGTTTTTACTCAAAATAAAATGGTTTTTGATATCAGATTTTTTAATAACAGGATACTAAAAATCAAACTTATTCACCCCTTGAAAACGCAACACTTTATCAAAAATAAAAATCATTGAAGTATTTATTTTCAAATCCAAGATTTTTATTTTTTAGCCGTCACGATGCCCCTCGAAAAGTTGGTTTCTTGGAGTTGGTAAGTTAAAATTAGAATTGTTCTGATAAGTACCTACCCAGTTCAAATACTCCTCCCGCCGCGACCTACTTCTCATGCTCCTCGGCTCGATTCTGGCGATATTCACCGGATTTGGCTACCCGCTACTAGCTGTTATTGTCGGCGATATTACGCAATCTTTTTTGAAAGCTACACTCATCATCAATTTCTACAATTTCGGTGGGTCATGCATAAATCACGAGATTGGGTAGATGAAAATAACACAAAAATGGTTAGAGTAGCCGTTAAAGGGACCAGAAAGACACTTGAAAAGCATGCTCAGAGGTTTTACCATACTGCGACACGCAACGCACGCACCGTTTTACGTTGCGTAATGGACGTTGGCCAAATGCCGTTCGCTTATTGGCGAAAAAATTCACCAAAAGCCTTGCGTCGCCCTTTAAAGGGCACGTTCAGGGACGTTTTTTTGGAAAAAAGCAAAGAGTTTTGCCGCGGCCGGGGGTCGAACCCGGACCCCCCACTTGGGAGGCGCGGATGGATACCAGTCAGCCACAGCTACAACCTGGTGAGGGGTTGAGGGGCCCCCCACGCCCCAAAGGAGGGGAATGGCCTGTCACAGCACGGGCAGGCAGTGCGCGCGGTCCCTACGTCCATAGGGTGTACACGTTGGGACGAGTACACGGCCCCTCCCTGAACGTGCGCTTTAAGTGCGTAGCTGTGCAATGCGGCACCCGCGCTACGCAACGCGCACGCCGCGCCTTCCACCACGTGATTTATCACCACCTCCTAACAGCGTTCAAGTGGCTCATGCGTCGCGTGTCACGGTGCGGCTCAAGCTGGTGATGCATTGCCCCGGTGCCTTAAATTGATTACCACGCCCGACAGGACGTTTTCGAGCATAAATCGACAACTTTAGATCTCTGGCAACTCGTCAACTTCTTTATCCAATACTTTGATCGGCTGCCGAAAGACTCGAATCGGTAAGCAAAAGATAGAATGTTCTAGAGAATTGACAATTCAGGACCATCATCGATTATCTGAACATGACGTTTGAAGAAATTATCAAGTGTAAGTATCGCAACTTTGAATCGTAATTCTCACAAGCCTTCAAATTTGCAATTTCGCAATTCAGAATTTTTTTGCCTGATTTTTTGGGAATTTTAAAATATCAGGTTTTCCGGTTTTTCCATAGCAGATTAAAACTTTCAGACTCGATGGAGGATTTCCATCGTGATCTTGTCGGCAGCTGCTACCATTATGTATTCTTGGCAATTATGATGTTTGTAGCCGGATCCATACAGGTTCTCTCTCTCTCTATCAGTGACTCTGGCTCTCTCCCTAGCGCACTCTATCACTCCCTCACTCTCTCGCTCACTCGTGACCCTTTTTCAGGTATCCTGCTTCGTGACGGCCGCCGAACGTCGGGTGCACCAGATGCGAAAATTGTTTTTTAGATCAGTATTACGGTAGGTTGATAAAATATGGCGAAATGAGCATTTTCCAGGCAAGACATTGAGTGGTTCGACCGGAATCCAGCCGGGAAACTGGCGACTGTACTCTTCGAGTATGATCTTCTGGATGTAGCTTAACATCTAAAGATTTTAGCAACCTGGAAAAAGTGCGAGACGGGAGTGGAGACAAATTGGCACTTTTGATACAGTACACCTCGCAGGTGAGGATTTGACGGTTCTAAAAGGATGATGCTGGCAGGGAAAACTGACTAAATCAATTTAGCGGATGTTTTGAAAATGTTATGGATTTTTTACCAACACTCCACCTTTAAAAAGTTCAAATGTTATATTTTAAAATATTATAGACGTCTCTTAGTTAATCGCCGGGTTCTGTATAGCCCTGTACTACGACTGGAGATTGACCGGAATTATGTTGTCTTTGGCACCACTTCTATTTTTATGTGGGCTTTTCATGGCGCAGGTGAAGATCTCTCTTTCTCTCTCTCTCTCTCTCTCTCTCTCTCTCTCTCTCCTTATCTCACGCTTTATCATTCTCTCTTTCGCCTCGCTTTCTCCCCTCTCTCTCACTCTCTCTCGCTCTCTCTCTCTCCTTATCTCACGCTCTCTCATTCTCTCTTTCGCCTCGCTTTCTCCCCTCCGGCTCTCTCTCTCTCTGTCTCTCTCTCTCTCTCTCTTCTCTCTCGCTCTTAATATCCATGCTTAGGTCAGTTCAAAACTATCCCTTGCCGAAGCAAAACACGCTCAAGCTGCAGCTGGCATAGCCGAAGAAGCGTTATCCAATATCCGAACTGTTACCGCATTTAATGGACAGAAATTTGAGACTAACAGGTATTCCACAAGGCTCCAATCAACATTCCGAAACCCTCCGTTTCAGATACGCCAACTCCCTGCAGGCAGGAAGTCGACTTGGGGCAATCCGGGGCGTGCTAGTCGGCGCCGGTGCCGGGGTCGTTTGGTTCTGCACATTTGCCGTGTTCTGTTTGTCATTCTGGGTGGCCACCAATCTGGTAGCTGATCGACAGGTTGAGCCGGGAAGCGTGCTTACTGTGGGTTTTCTGTCCTTTTCTTTTTTTTTTTGAAAGAGACAGCGAGAGAGTGAGAGAGCCAGGAGAGAAAGATAGAGAGGGAGACAGAAAGAGCGACCGAGAGAGACAGAGAAAGATATAGAGAACGAGTGAGAAAGAAAGAGAGAGATATTCTGAGCACCCTTCTCACTTCAAAACTTCCAGTGCTTCATCTCGGTCCTGATGGGTTCGATCGCTCTATCCTACGGCTCCCCGAACCTGACGTTGGTCGCCCAGGCTCAAGCGGCCGCTGGGGCTGTCTACGCTGTCCTCGAAAATGTAAGGCCGGTTTCTGAAGTTTTCGAGGTCAAGCAAGCTCTCAAAATATCCGAAGTTTTCTAAGGTAACTAAGCATTCCGAGGGATCCTGGCTAATCAGTCAAGCTTTCCAAGTCCACCAAGCTTCCCCAGCCACCAAGTTCTCAAAGCCAACCAAGCTTTCAGGAGCCCAACCAAGCCCCGAATAAGGGCTACAAACCCAGCCGAATCCTCGGAAAATTGAGCTTCCGTGACCTGCGCTTTGCCTACCCGAGCCGAAGGGACGTAAAAGTGCTTGATGGCGTGTCTTTTGAGGTCGGCTACGCGGAGATACTGTTGACCCTTATTCTAGTGTACGCTAGGAGAAACCGTAGCTCTTGTTGGACCTAGTGGCTCTGGAAAGAGCACTATTGCCCAGCTATTGCTGAAATATTATGAGCCTAACCAAGGGCAGGTGGGCGATCTCTGTATGTCTGTCTGATGCTCTCACTCAATCTCTCTCTCACGTCTCTCTCTCTCTCTCTCTCTCTTTCTCTCGCAACGTCGTCGAGCCTTCAGATTCTGATCGACGGTGAGAATATAGCATACTGGAATGGCGCCGGGCTCCGCGATATGGTCGGCGTGGTATCCCAAGAACCCGTACTTTTCAACACGACCATTGAGGAGAACATCAGGTTTGTGGTGTTTGCGGTGGTATTGTTTAATCTGACGTCGCCATTTCACCTTCTTGCCCAGCACATTTTTCTTGGCATGCTGCTTACCCTAGTTGTAACCTTCAGGTTTGGGCGCTCCAACGTCAACGATGCTGAGGTGGTTGCTGCTTACCGGATGGCTAATGCCACAAACTTCATCTCGGCCCTACCACAGGTAACCTAGGGGACGTTTAACGCCCTAGGAACGGACTACGCATACGCCCTATGTACGCAGAGAGCTTCATTTTTTGTTGAACTCTCACTTCGACATACACCTTGAAGCCGTTTAGGGCCTGAAAACAATGGTCGGCGATCGAGGTACACAACTTTCTGGGGGCCAGAAGCAGCGCATCGCCATCGCCAGAGCCCTGATCAGAAATCCAAGGATACTGATTCTGGATGAGGTTGTTTATAACAATAGTCCACACAAATTCTGGATTTTTGGGCAACTTCCGCGTTGGATTCGGAGAGCGAAACATTGGTGCAAACTGCTTTGGATAGGGTATGTTTAGGGTTGGTTTTAGAAAATTAGCGAAAAATTCAAAAAATGAAAAAATAAAATTCTTAGAAAGAAAGATTAATTTTTAGGCTACAGCAGGCCGTACGACAATCGTCATCGCTCATCGGCTTTCAACAATCAGAAATGCCGACAAAATTGTGGCGATGAAGGACGGGAGAGTTGAAGAGGTCAGAGAGAAACAAAGAAAGAGAGAGAGAGAGAGAGAGAGAGAGAGAGAAAGAGAGCGCGCGAGAGAGAGAGAGAGCTAGCCTCTATATTCAGATCGGCACTCACGACGAGCTAATGTCCAAAAGGGGTCTCTACTACCAACTAGCCACCGCTGCTGATCAAGGAGAACCACATCCAGGTATCAGAATCTTTGAAGTCTCTATATTCTATCGTCGATCTCAATAAAAATCTACCGTATTCAGGAGCTTCTCGTAAAAGAGAAGCCTCACCCAACGTTCGCCGCTACTTCCACTCACGGCGCGGCTCGGCGGCTTTCAGCGGATCGGAACGTCGCTCTTCCCTACTAGAGATTTTCGAGGCGAATTTCAGCAGACGCAATTCCTTGCATTCTAATGGATCTAAAATGAGATAATTTGGAAAAATTGAGCGTTTAGAATAAAATTTAGTGATCTGAAGGTGAAGCCGGAAAAGGAGCAACCTGACGAGTTTGCGGAGCAAGAGGGCAAGGAGGTCGTGGAGAAGGAAAATACGGAAATAGCGAATGATCTCACGAGGCTGGCTGAAGGTCAGTTACACCCATTCTGTCGCTTTCTCTCGCCGTCTCTCTTTCTCTTTCTCGCTCGCTCTCTATCTCTCGCGAACCCGCTTTCTCTCACTCTCGCTTTGTCTATATCGCTCCTTATCTCTCTTATCTCTCTCTATCTCTTTCTTTCTTCTCTTTCACCTCAATCTTCAGAATTGGCCGAAGAAGACGTCGAGCCCTGTTCCGGCCTAAACCGTCTCTGGAGCGTTGTACGAAGTGAATGGCATCTCCTAGGCGGTTCTCTGCTCTTCGCCTCCCTCCAGGGCATCGCATATCCAAGCTGCACCATTTTTTTCACTCAGATTATTGAGGTAGAGCGGTTTTCCAAATGTTAACTCAGCCATAGGGTATGGAAAAGTTAAGAAGAAAAGCGATTTCAGCTCTTTGCCGACCCGGATCCAGTCAAAACGCGAAGAGAAGGACACTTTTATTCCGTACTGCTCGGACTTCTCGGGATTTACATGATGGTGGCCGTGTATGCCCAGGTAATGACAGATGCGTGCACGCGTTGCTACCTCGTTGCGTGTGGCAGGAAACGAAAGGCGTGTTTTTCAAGAAAGAATGAGACGCGCAGCGCGCCCGCAACACGCTAACGTATCGCCGCTGCCGAATTCAGCAATTTACGATCAATTTCCCGTTTCCAGCACCACTTCTGCACGCTCCTCGGCGAGAAGCTCTGCTTTCGGTTACGATTGGACGTGTTCAAGTCGTTACTCAGCCAGGTAGGCAGCTAATCACTCTCTCTCATTCTCTCTCCCTCCCTCTCTCTTTCTCTCTCTCTCTCTCTCTCTATCTCGTCACTTTGACCAAGCTTTTCGTCGAGTTCAGGCCGTCTCCTTTTTCGACGAGCCCCGATATTCCGCTGGGCGCCTAACGACAAGGTTGGCCCGAGATGTCCCAACAGTAAAGGGGGTGGGTCCCGCCACGAATTCGCGAGACGCAATTTTTCAGGCAGTAGACCACCGGCTCGGGTCCGTCTTCACGGCGCTGGTCAGCATCGTGACAGGTTGGCGGCGCTAAAACTAGCAGGCTACAAACTACACATATAGCCGTCATCGTCGCCTTCGTGTATGGGTGGCATATGGCGCTTCTCGTAGTCGGGCTCTATCCATTGGCCGGATTGGGACACGCGCTGCAGCTACGGTAGGATACACCACACTTCAAAAAAGTCATTCGTATCACCGTAGCTTCTTTTTTATGTTTTTTTTATGCCTTTTAGATTCGAAGAAAAGGACAAAAATGATATGGTAAAAAGGATGGAGGACGCGGGAAGAGTAAAAATTTCAATTTTGGGTTACGGTAACGTTCAGATAGCCCTGGAAGCCATCGAATCGATTCGGACGGTCAGGGCTCTGAACTTGGAGACGCGGATTTGCGAGTTATTCGAAGGAAAACTGGAGTTGCCGCATAGATTTGCGATCAGGAGTGCTGTTTTTCAGGTATCACTTGAAATCTCTCTTTCGCTCCGTCTCTCTCTCTCTCTCTCTCTCTCTCTCTCTCTCTCTCAATCGTCTTTCTCAGGGCCTAGCCTTCGGATTTGCCAACGCGATCCCTTACTCGATCTACGCGGCCACCTTCCGCTTCGGCCTCTACCTGGTGGAGCAGAATCTAACGATGCCCATGGACGTGATGAGGTACGTACGTAGCGGGGGGCGGGGCAGACTACGCTACGTCCCTGGTCATGCCTTACCGGTCCCTTTAAATGAGGTCCGAAGCCCCCATATTCAACTTCATCCGTCGACTAGGTGTTAAGTTTGCGTAAGTGCGCCTAGGTATACGGCGTGACTGTCGAGACCTAATTAATGAGAGGGCTGGATTCCGAAGCTTCTATGTTCCTTTAAAAACCAATTTTTAGGATCCAATTTGCCGTCTCCCTAACCGCAGGCTCCATTGGCGTCGCTTCGGCCTACTTCCCAGAATTAGCGAGGGCCCGTCTGGCTTCCGCTCTAGTTTTTGCGCTCATCGATCGACCATCCGAGATCCACCCAGAGCAAAATCCACAGAATAATCCCGTAGGAAACCGGAAGTTGCTTATACGAATGGTTTTAAGGAGCTTAAAGGTAGAATCGAGTTGCGGGAAGTTGCTTTCAAATACCCTAGCCGTCAGGAGCAACCGATTTTGAAGGGGTTGGATCTGGAGGTGGAGCCAGGTGAGCTTCCGGAGGCTTTCTAACAACGAAAACGAAAGTGTCATTTTAAATCCGGAAAAGGACCCCAAAAGAGTCGTATGGGGGGGTACCTCAAACCAAAAGCTGACGCTGATGAACAATAGGGCTTTTCCAGGCCAAACCGTCGCTCTGGTCGGCGCTTCCGGATGTGGAAAAAGCACGATCGTCCAGTTGATGCAACGATTCTACGAGCCACTTTCAGGGAAAATCGTGGGTTTTTCATGGATTAAAGGAACTGAGGGATGGTGATAGGTCCATTGCAAGAACTCAAAATTTGACCCCTACGATCTCTGCGTCTCGGCTGTCTTTGGCAAATTTTTTCCAGAAGCTCGACGACTGGAACCTGCACGACATTTGCCCCAGCGAGCTGCGACGCCAAATCTGCATGGTGCAGCAGGAACCGGTGCTGTTCAATGGCAACATTAAGGTTAGTATAGTTCTATCTAGCTCTCTCATTCGCTCTTTCTCACTCTCTCTGTCTCTCTCACGTTTTCTAGCTCTCTCCTTCTCTCTTTCTCGCTCTCTCTCGCTCTCTCTCTCTCTCTCTCTCTCTCTCTTTGTCAGTTTCTGCCAACTTCATGCTTTTATTTTAGGAAAACATCCTCTACGGCCTGGAGCCAAATGATGTGACTTTTCAAAAAATTCAAACAGCCATCCGGGATGCAAATTTGGAGGGATTTGTTGAGAAATTGCCGAGGGTACTTTTGAAACGCATTTTATTTTTTTGTGTTTTTAGGGCCTCGAGACAAACGTGGGAGGACGTGGAACACAATTATCAGGTTTGTAATCGATTTGGGAGAGCCTGGAGATCTCTCTTTCGTTCTCTCTCTCTCTCTCTCTCTCTCGCCGCTTCTACTGCAGTTCCTGATTTAGGAGGCCAGAAACAACGAATCGCCATCGCAAGGGCACTTGTCAGGGACCCAAAGGTAAGCTCGACATAAGTTGGGAAATTTTTTCGCGACGTCGCATAGATGAGGTGCTACCATTAATGCGCCGAATAGTGCCTTAAATTGCTTTCTAATGGATCCGCTAATGAATAATATTTGGTTCAGATAATCTTACTCGATGAAGCGACGTCTGCGCTCGATTTGGAGTCGGAAAAGGTGCGGTGTTAGGATTACTACGATGCTCTCGTGAAGCCTAATTCCATTTTATTTGCATTTGTAATTTTACGATATTTTTAGGCAGTCCAAAAGGGTCTCGAAGCGGCTTGCCACGGGCGTACGGTGCTCGTCATCGCTCACAGGCTGGAAACGATCCGAAAATCCGACAAAATTGCGGTCATTTCGGAGGGACGGGTGGCGGAAATTGGTTAGTAGGCTTGTCGACTATGCAGAGGCTGACACGCATCCTCGCTTGCCAGTTCCTTTAAAATCAGCTCCTAGTAAACAACAAATCGCGAAATACCTATCCAGGCACCCACCAAGAATTACTCACGAAAAACGGGATCTACGCCGGGCTGTATAAAAAGCAGTGTCTATAGTTGTACTTTGTATTTTGGTGATCATCGATAAATATTGCTTCGAATGGCTCTTGCTCCCATCGATGACACTCTAGCTCAAAAGCCTGGAGAGCAAAAATGGCTTTTGCTCTATTCGAAGCTGCTCGGGCCCAAAAATACAACGAGCCAAAAAGGTTCTTACTCCATTCGAAGATGCTGTAGGGCAAAATGACTCTTGCTCCCTTCGACGATACGATAGGTCGAAAGAACGAGGGGTAAAAATAGCTCTTGCTCCCTTCCACGATACGATAGGTCAAAAACACCGAAAGCCAAAGCAGCGCATGCTCCTTTTGAAAAGACCCTAGCTCAAGAATACTAGGAGGCAACAAATAAGCTCATGCTTTATTCGAGGATACGGTAGGTCCAAGCTACCAAGAGCCAAAATAGCTCTTGCTCCTTGCTAGGAACTGTGGGTCGAAAGAAAAAGAGCCAAACCGGCTCATACTCCTTTCCGAGAAACTGTAGCTCAAAAAAATAGATAGCTTTTTCCGTTTTTAACCTTTTTTTAGCGTTTTCTACCCCTGTTTTTGCCGTATTATGTTGTATTTCGTAGTTTAAGGTGTAACTGCTCTCAATTTAATTTTAACATTTTATATCTCAAATCTTTCGACTTTAGTAAAAATATATAATACATTCATTAATTATCGGGTGGTACTCCGTTTTCACTCTATACGGTAACAGACAAAAAAGGGGTATACGGTAGTAAGGTATCACATTCCTTCCACTTAACAGAATTAATTCAGTAAAAATTGGGCAAAAATTGGTGGGTGTTCACAGAAAAGTGCTCCTGAATTTGCATATGTCTCGGGGTGGTGGCAACAAAAATGAGGGTCTCAAAAAACGTATCAACGTCGTACAGTAATCCACGAAAAAATGACAAATACCGGCAAAAGGAGCGCAACGGAAAAACGGCGGCGGGAATCACAGGAAACACAGAGCGAATGGGTTGCGGGGGAGCGGCTGATATTTTTTGGTGGTAGTGAAACTTGCATAAAATACGTAAAAAGGAGTGGCACTCGAAATTTGCAGAAAATTGAATTTTTAGCTTGTTAAAAACTACGAATTTGCAGAACATAGATTTAAAATTTAGGTATTTTTAGGTAATTTCAATCATCAAAAAATTGTTTTTGAGGGTGGCAAATTACGGTAATTTGCATAATATGACTTTTAAACGACGCTATTTTAATTTTTTTAGTCTTGAAAATCCGTCAAGTTTAGCATAATTTCATTTTCGATTTTTCCAGTTTTGTAAATAGCAGAATCGATACTTGCAAAAAAAAATTTACGAAATCTTCTGATGCCCAGAAACCTGACCTGAAAAGTTACATTCGATATGCAAATTGCGTATGCAAATTTTTCGAGTGTCACTTTAAAATCCCGTAAAAAATAGAAATATTCCGGTATTACAATCTTACTGTATCTCTAATTTTGGGGCAAAGGTTAGAAAATTGAGATCTCCAATTCGGGGGTTGCGGGCTGCTTAATTAGCGGGTTAAAAGTCGAATTTTTCCAACAATTTAAATTTCAGTAAAAAAGTTGCGGGCCATTTCTGAGGTATACGGTATACGGGGGAAATCGGGGCAAATTTTTTTGCGATTTTCCGAATTTTTCTCGCCTTGGAAAAAGGGAATTAAAATTCTAATAAATACCCGGGGTGATAGAAATAGGGAAAAGGGGAATCCGGTAGGTGGCTGGCCGTAAAAAAAAAATTAAAAAAATTATTTAATTTAAATTTACAACTTTTTGACACCTTTAAAAGGTAAAAGTTAAAATTTAATTTCTAACTAATAAAAAATTATTGCTATTTTTCGGCCAGCCACCGAATTTTTCTGGGGTACGGTAGTTGGGTCGGGGTATAGCTTGGCTATTACGGTAGTAAGGGCAAGGGGAAGAATTGTGAAAAAATTGATTTTGACGATCGGAGCGTCGCGTAGTCAAATTTGCGCATCGCAAGCGATTGAAAAATCCAAACACTACGCGACGCTCCGCTCCAAACAGCGTCAAAACTCCCTTAAAACGATTGTGCCATTTTTTGAAAATTTGAATCCAAAACTCTAACGGGCACGTTTGCTTTAAGGGACTGGTGAAGACAAGGAATCCATAGATTTTGACGAAGACAAGGCAACGTTATGCTCCAGAAAACGTAGCAGCAGATTATCCACGCAAAAGCGAGAAATTAAAGGGATAAGGACAAGCTTAAGCTTAAGCCGAAGTCAAGCCTGAGCCTAAGCCTAAGCCAAGCCTAAGCCAGGCCTAAGCCTAAACCAGGCTTAAGCCCGAGCCCCTTAAAAAACGACAAAATCAAAGGAATTCTTTCTGGGTCAGCGCGACCCCATGGCGGACAGGTCGGTGAGCATGTTCTTCTCCAGCTCGCGGACGGTGTTCAGGAATTGATTCCACAGGGGATGGGTACGATCAGCACCGGGGGCGATCCATAGATTGCGGGTGAACGGCTCGGCACCGTTCATGCTATCGTCGTTCTCCTTCTCGGCTGGTTGTCCTGGAAATTGGGGGTGTAAGGAGGTGTAGGGCGGAATTTAGGTAATATTACCTTTTGGCTAGCTCTCTCTCTCTCTCTCTCTCTCTCTCTCTCTCTCTCTCTCAAAGGCACCCCGCTGGGCGCTGGAAGCAAATTTCGCTTTCTGCTAGTGTACTTTTTTGGGAAAATTGGATCCGGAATCCGGATGATCCCGGAATAGGATTGCTCCCGATTCAATTTCACGTATACATCGCTCTTGCAAAAAATGTAGTTCCAAAATTGGGCCCGAAATATCAGCGCCGGCTCCGGTTCGATGCGGCTGCAGGGACTAATATTTTTAGCGAGAGGGAGAGAGAGAGAGAGAGAGAGAGAGAGAGAGACAAAAGAGAGAGAGAGAGATAAACTCTTTAATCTTCATTAACTCACGATTGTTGATGATATTATTGGGCGTCAACGTCTGCACGGGCAGTTCAGCATCGTTGCTCGGAGGGACGATGCTCAAGCCGGGCAAATGCTTTGACTCGGACAAGCTCTAAAATCAAAATTTATACATACAAAATTTTTTATGTATATTTAGTTAATCAGTTAATGATTCTCTGTGTTGCATTTCCGCTTAACTCCAAAGTACGGTACCTGGAAAGCGCCCCCATTCGTCAGCGAATCCAAATAGGACGGGTAGGTGGATGCAGCCGTGGTGTACGTGGCGGAATGTGGGGCAAAATGGTTGCCCATCGTCGAATTCTGCAGGGACATCGAGGCCAGGAGGGAGGAGGGGAGCGCCGACAACAGCGACAGGTTCAGGCCTGGAAAATTGAGCGTTTACCGATGTCAATAACAACAGTGGAGCTTAATTCTCTGAGCGGCTGAAAAATGTTGCTTATGCTGCCCAGTAGCTGAACAGCTCGAAAATGTTGCCCTACCTTGAAGCGCCGCCAGATTGGGCGTCGACGTGATGATGGGCGGGCTCTCCAGATCAGCCGAAGCGCGGCCAAGTTGCGAGAATAGACCACCATTCCACTCTGTGGCGTCCTGCTTGGCGTTGCCTAAAAGGCATCGATTTCGGGGAGTTCACGGGGATATGGCGAATTTCTTTATGGCACCATCCCTTGAAAATGAATTTTTCGAGGCTCTTTGATTGAGAAAAGGCAGAAAATAACCTTTTATCACAGTTTTGGATATGTTGGTTAACAGCTTAGTGACGTCGCCCTTTTAAACCCCGGATTCAATCGCATAATCGACTCACTGAGGAGAATGTCGTAGAGATTCTGGTTCAGTTGCGCCGAATCCGGGATCTGAGGCGTCGCCTGATTGCCCAACGCCACCATATCGTCCCCGGAATGCGTACGTTTTGGCGACGAGTGGATTTCGACTTCCTGGTAAATAAGATTAATATCCTTGCACAAAATTTAGCGGAATTTCCTCAAAAATCTTTGCTGGTTTGCCCCAAAATTTTCAAAACTATAGCTATACAATTTATTTTCTCTATCTTTTCCATAATTTTTCTAGGCAAAATTCCAAGCGTCTTAGCCCCTTTAAATCCACCTTACCTCTCGAATAATTCTCTTTGCGTGATGCTGATTGGTAGGGGTGGTGGCGGGGGTGATAGCTGGTGGTGGAAGAGTTTGTGGATGGGATGGTAGAGTGGCCGATGGAGGGGTAGAAGCCCCAGAATGGGTCCCGCCACGGGGAGGAGTCACCCTCACAGCCACATCCTCCACAATCATACCCCCGTGAGCAGCCGCGGCGGCTCGGCGTTGATCAAGCGGGATCGGGAGCGCATCTCGGTCTGAAAATTGGGGGTTACTGTAGTCGGTTTTTCATTTTTAAGGGTTTTTAGCGAGCCATATCAGTATTTTGTCATTTTTGGGAATTTATTTCCTGAAGGACCTCCTCCAGGCTTTTTGCTAGTTGCCCCCAAAGCGAGATCCAACTTCTCCAAGGATCCCTGCTAGTTTGCCAGCCGCCCAAGAGAGTAGAATTCCGCAAAGAACACTGCTAGCTTGCCCTAAACGACGCAAGTTGCCTTAAAAGTCGTGGTCGGTCAGATTCCCTAAGCATCTCTGCTAGACTGCTTTTAAAAGCGTCATTGATAAGACTAAAATCCTCTAAAATTCTCTGCTAGCATTCCTCAAAGAACGAGGTCACTGGATTCCTCAAGCACCTCAGCTGGCTTGCTGTTTGGTTAGTGAAGGTTGCTAAATTTACCTAACCCTCAAAACTTTTTCCGATTGGTGTATAAAGTCTAGTTTAACGTTATTTTAACTCACAACCTCCTAATTAAATAGAAACCTTTTAAATCCCGCACTCCTATCCGGTCAGGTTTATTGACGTAGTCTGGATCTGGGGGATTGCGATGTCTCGATGGTCAGACAGTCCCGATCGAGGCGCATGACCCCCACATCATTGCACAGCGCTAATTTACATGCATTAATGGGAGGGGCCCCGAGCCGGCACCAACCCTCTATTTATCAGGTTGGAACGAAAGTTCTGTCGCCGAGAT